TGGAAATAAAACGGATTTCATAGTGCCCTATAATTATAATTAATTTATTTGTGGTAATAAAAATAGATGTTAGTGAACAATTGCCTTTAAAATTACTTAAAATACATATATAATAGCAACAAGGCAATAATAATTAGTTCAAATAAAGTATCAAAAGCAAGAAATCATATGGTTTTATTGAACAAAACTGTTAAAATACATAATGTATTATAAACAATTGAGCTAATGTACATTACGCATTACAGTAAAGGCCTGCAGGGGGCGCCAACGGCCTGATGATTGTTTTTACACATTACTGTGCGATCTAATCCATGTTTAATATTGACCAAGCACCATTTAGTTCAAATGTCCTCTTAATCTTTAATATTTGGCCATTTCTTTAGGACAGAAATGCTATAGCCACTGTAATTAAATTAATATGTGGACATCAAAACGTCTAAACTCAGAGTGAGGGTTTGAGCTTTATTTTGAAACCGCAATGTATTCTCCTGTGTTTGCGTGGATTTATAAATCATTTACCTTACAAATCTGATGAAATGGCGCACGTTGCGTTCCCAGATGAACGTTATAATAAACCCAAACTCACATCAACATGCAGAGATGGAGTTTGAGACGCTCCACACGTGTAAATGATAACAGTTCCTGTGGAGCTACAGTGAACGGAGCCGCTGTGTGACGCATGTACTTAACCTACACGCATGTAAATAATTAAAGCGCATATACTGTATTAGAACTGCATCGCATATAATTATTTAATTAAATCGTAGCGTTTGTGCATTCACAATTATGCTTAATTATGATTTTTAAATGGGTTTAATAGATCATGCAGCCTTGGGAAACAGTCTAATAATGTGTTTTATACATTCTCGTCCGTGAAATGCGCCACTTCTGGTATTTTGCCGGTTAGTCGACGCGAGCGGAAAAAAAGTCGAGAATTTTAAAAAATCGAATAGTCGAATAAAATCGACGAATCGCGACAGCCCTATTGGAGTGCAACTTATGCACAATGCACACTTCTTAATATTAAGCCTAAAATGTGTTTTAATGACACTATTGATGAGGATTGTATGATCTTTGAATAATATTGGTTTTTAAATGGATAAAGTCTTAAAGTGCACTCGAAGTATACTTGCAATAGTTCCACTTTAGCACAACCAAATATACTTCAGTATATCTTTAGTTGGACATTAGCTAGTGTTAATTTTGTGAGCTATTTTCAATTTTAGTCTCAGTCCCGTGTTAAATGTCCTTATTTTTATCATATTTAGTCAACCCAAGTGCATTTGAACTCTTGATATCTGGCAACCGCACAATCATGAGCGCTCGCGTAGTAGAGGAGTGTAGAGCAGTCCACAGTAACATTTTGTCTTTTTTTTTTTTTTTGAATACATTTTACGTTTTTTTTCGTCAAATAAATAGCATGCCGATATAGTTATTGTTTATTGACCTTATTGACGTCTCGTCTTCGTCTCGTCTTAGTCATGGGACAAAAACTCGTCAACGAACATTTTTCGTCATAGTTTTCGTTAACAAAATTAACACTAACATCAGCACTACTTTCTCACAATTAAAGTACGTTAAATACAAAATTAGTTGTTCCAGTTTAGTAGGCCTTAAGTATACCGGTTTAGTATCCCAAATGTACAATTGCAGCATATTTTTAATAAGTGCTTAAATATGTAAATGTATCTGCAGTACACTTAGCATGAAACAAATGTATTTCAAATACATTTTAGTATATTTGTTTTTCACTAGGGAACACTTTAATTGTTAAATATTTGATTAAGTAACTGTGGTGTTAAGAATGGATAACGTTAAATGATCAATCACCATTCCGACACTATCCATGACAGAGTTCAGTATGAAACGATGCTAAAGTAACAGGTTTAATAGAGTATAAAGATCTTACTCTTGAGGGAAGAAAGGCCACTGGAGCCGCCGAACAGTGAGCGGGTGGCCGAGCTCCCAGCTACACCTGGAGCGGGCGTCAGCATCACCAGATACGTCCCACACACGTACATCGGCGTCTTCCTCAGTGCTTTTATAGACAGACCACAGCTTGTGTTGACAACTGGGATGAGAGAAAAAAAAACAAGAGACCACGATCAACATTGCAATTAAAACGACGGTGAAGAATTACAGCACAGATGTGAATTTGGAGTTGTGGTTGTTTTGTCTATTTTTCCCATTCGTTATAGTTAGGGTTTAGAATTAACTAAAACCATAAAATTTTTTTACTTGAAATAAAAAGAAACTGGAAATAAAAAAAAATAAAAAAAATAAAAAAAATGTTTAACTGACTGAAATAAAATACAATATAAAAAAAATACAAATATATTTAATTAACTGAAATAAAATAAAATATTAAAATGCCATATTTAAAAAAAACTTACTAACTTTATTCCAGATAGCTGCCAAGGAAACATTTCTCATTTTCATTTAGCTTGACCTGATATACTGAAATAACTAAAACTAAAAACTACTGATAAAAAACTATAGCCTAATAGTATCTCAATGATACTAAAATAATATTTTAAAAAAATACCCAGTTGGTGTACACATCCAAAACCCAAAATTGGTGCAGAACAAAAAAACATTAACCGGGGGAAAAAAAAAAAAGAATAAAATTTCCACATACTGAACTTAAGCTCCAAAAAATAATTAATTTAAACAGCACAACATTTTGGCCTGTCAGGTCTACAACAGGCACTAAAATAACACTGCCATCCACTTCTGTTCACTGTAAACGACATCAAATCAATAAAATGATCACTCTTTTCCTTTAAAACCCGCACCAATTCGCTTAACTACACTTGAGCAGTTTTTAAGATATTCCAAACATCTTAAAGAATTTGCACACAGTATATATACAGATTTCTTCTGAAACTTGCATGTTGTGTATTTAAATATATTTGTAATCACACATTACAGCTGATAATGATGAAGTTGCAATTAAGTAGATTTCAAATAAATTATCTTCAAATGTAATACCGAGTAACACACTACAGCTCAAATTATATTCAAGTACTTTACATGTGCGTTAGTCAACACATAAAAAAAAGTGTACTTTTTAAAAAAAATGATAACGGATTATTAAAGCCTAATGATTTAAAACGTACTTTAAAGAAAAATATTTAATTTGACAATTATTACAAAGGTCACTTTTTTTAAAAGTGTACTTAAGTGTGTTCAGAAACATTCATGAAAGTGTCTCTTTAAGTCACTTAAGTGGCCTTTTATTTCATTAACATTATATTACCTGTTAGTACAGTTTTTGAAAAAATATACTTTTAATATTTGAAGTACACTACATGTGCACTTTCAGTAAAATTAAGCGCACTTCTTTTTCACAATGGCTCCCATTATTGTAGAAACTAAGCCAGAGAAGCTGGTGCTTGGGAGCAGCCGAGGCACAAACAACATACAGCAGCATTACCCGACTGCTCCTCTTTGACGGGGTTGGTGATGGCGGAGCCGATTTAATATTATTTAGTAATAGAAAGGCAAACATTATAATACTTTCTCGTTGGCCGTCAGCATTCAGCAAACACGCAAATCTTTGAATGACTAATGAACATTTAATTTCACAAACCTTGCAGACTTAGTGGAATCTAGTTGAGATCTTGTGAAGTGTGCATTTGTATCCTGCATGATCGAGCGTGCTCTGCGTGACGGTCGGTCCGTGTGAATTGAATACGGACAGGAGGAGAGTTCAGCTTGACTGGAGTCGCGCGATCGACAAACTTTAACTCATGATTTCAAATTATGCTGCGCTTTATGCATTTGCCCACTGCCATATTCATGTCATTTTCATTGCGTGCTATATGTAAAATTAGTGTTACCTTGGCTTTATTTGAAAAAAATATATATATATGATTCCCAATGCACACAAACTTCCCAGAATACTGAATGCCCTGTTGGTTACAGTGTTTACTTCCTTTTCAATGAGATTTTTATTAAATATTTATTTGAGAAAAATATGTTTATTTTACACTATTTTAACCCATTTCCAAATGATTTCAAATTTCTTAAATATTAATTAAAATATATAAAATTATATCGGCTTTATATCGGCCACCCTGCTTTTCAAGATATCGGCATCGGCTGTCAAAAAACCCACTACAAGTCACTCATTAAAATGTCATTTTTATGTCCCATAAGATGCTGCACACAGATTAAACTAATTCACACAGGTTTGGAGAATAAGTTAATGATGACAGGGTAACTGTTCCTTTATGTTACAGTGACAACCATAATAGAAATAAAGTGTAATGCATGAAAAAAAATCCACTTGTTTACAACATTAATTTGCCCGTCCAAACACTATGCCAGTAATGTTTATTTATTCTCATAATTGTTAATGTGAGGACTTAGGATTTGGTTGTGGCTGTGGTTTTCAATCTGCAGTGCAGTACTGTCATAACTTGATACAAATGTAGATTAAATTCACATTAATTTCTTAGATTTTTTTCTAAAGGCACTCTCAGCCACCCTGCTGGTCTAAATGTTTTGCATATAACAGCATATAATGGTATTTTTTTGGGTCAACTGACATTTACAAGTTACAAAATTTGGTACACGTGGAGGATTCGAGACTAATTTCCACCATTTGCAACTTTGAGAAATCTGCTTGCAAAATTCAGAAAAAAAACTGACATCTAGCAAACCTCCAGACAAAAATTCTAAATAATTTTAATTACTTTAATTACTTTTTGTAATTACATTTTCAGGAGTAATCCATACCAACTATTTGACATGTTATGAAATTCCAAACTTAAACTGAAATTACAGCATAGAGGGGGTATAAACTAAAAAATTTAATAAATTAAATAAATTCACATACATGCCAACCCTGAAACAACATAAACTACCAAATTTTGCTACAAGTTTGATTACAACATATAATTATTGCTGTTATATTACTATTAAAAATAGTGTTCACCGTCTGTTTGATTACGTCATAAACTGAATTTTACCGTACATTTCTGCCATATGTACATCAATTTGACACTGATAAGCTACTACTAAATATATTGTAGAAACGTAATTGTCTGTAAAGCTGCTTTGCAACGATTTGTATCGTGAAAAGCGCTATACAAATAAACTTGAACTGAATTGAATACATTCTTAATTTTACGAACAAAAAAGTTGATTCGGCATCCATTTTTTTACCAACATTTGCTGAAACATCAACTAAAACTGAGATGTTTTCCAAAATGCATATCGCATCAGTAACAACTCAACAAGCATGTCCCCAAATCATGCAACGGTCTTATTTTCAAGCATACTTAGAAATAATACACTTTAACAAAATAAAAATCATACGAGTAGAAATATCCAAATACATTCTTTCTTGCAATGTCGATTTGAAAGTGCAATGTGAAAGGTGATGGTTTGAGATGCAGGGGTCGTACCTGCAGTGTGAAGGGGTCGATGACGTAGCACAGCTGATGAGGTTTGGTGTCAAAAGAGGCTGGACGGTGGAGCAAAAAGCCACTGCTGTGCGCCAACCACCCCGCCTCCAGTTCCTCGTTCCGACAGTACACAAAACCCCTGGGAGGAAGAGCAGAGGACAAAGTTTTAGGTTTCAGGGATGTGCCAGGATTGTCGACAGTTAGTGGAGTTGAGTATTTTTAGCCGTGGTGCTTTTAAACAGAGATGCTATTAACTATAGACCCTTTTTCTGACGGTAAACATTGTGACGTTTTTCTGTGGGCGGAGCTTAGGTGGAGGGAGAAAGATTCCTCTGACCGCCAGCTATGAAGTTTGTTAGCTTGTTTTTTTAACAATGACTGGAGAAAATCAGATTTTACCTGCATATGGAAAGGTTATATTATTGATATATACATTTCAATTTCAGCAGGCAGCTATTTTTACAGCTACATCATTATTCCAGCCACAATTAATCACAACAATGTATATACAATTACAAATGATTAAACATATAAATCGTCAGTTTGTTGTTTTACACACATGCATATGACTTTATTTCATACACGACATAGTCGTGAGATGCATAAGAAATCTTTAGATGCACCGATAACAGCAAAAGACAATACTTTATTGAACATTTTCTGATAAGAAGTGTGCGCTGCAAACTCAGAGCATTTTTGACGATCGTTTCTGTCCAGTCCACTTGTTTTAGCACGTTTAACCACAGCTGTCGTCGTTTTTTTTGTCTGGCAGTGGCAGCAGGTATGCGATAAAATTTCTAATTTGAGGCTGCATTGCGTAATGAAGCAGGCTGATGACGTATCATGTCTGCTCAAACAGAGGTATGCAAATACATACGCTGACAGGCAGGTAGGAAAACCTATCATAGCGCTCGGACCGAGGGATATGATTGGGCGAACATTATATGGTCCTGCACCTTCCACAGACGATATAAATACATATAAATACATTTAGACCACTTCACTTAGTGATTGTTAATGCAGGGCTCTATAGTGCATTTGCGACTGAAAACTACTGCGTGCGACTATGAAATACTATTTAGGAGCACCAGTGCGACTGACCTGATATTACATATATTTGTGTTTGCGCTGAGGGAGCTTCAAAGGTTCTAATATACATACGTGTTTCTGCAGCGTTGAGTAATGTATCACAGACATATCCTCTCATTATAACAAACACAGTGTTGACGGGGTGTAAATAAGAGATTCATTGTGCAGTGTAGAGAGCTTCGTATAATGGAGTTTTGTGAGATCGGGATAAACTAAGATGAGTGACAGCTTTTAATGATTATTAAGGGAGTTTGCAAATGTGATATTGATTTAATACAACAGTTCATTAAACAAGAAGTTAATATTAAGTGACTTACATTGTCTGACTACAACACTATTGCCTTATTTTGCTCTATTTCATTAACGAAAAATTTTTTTTTTTCAAGTAACAGCTGAGCCGCTGCACATCGCCATTTAAACACAGCGGTGATTCGTTTATGAATGACCTGCGTTTTTAAACGAATCTAGTGAGTCAATGATTCAATTACCCATTCATAAACACAGTCACGTACTTCGTTCCTGAATGAATCAGCTGTTCGAACGAATCAATTGAATGAATGATTCAGTGATAAAATCAGTGACTTGACGCCACCTGCTGGCAGTTTTAGTTTAATTTTTAAAGCATCTTTTCTGTTATTTAAATCATTTCTATATTCAAAATGTTATATTTAAAACATTAACCTCAACATGAATTTATGAATTTAATTGCACTCATGCGACCTCTGAGTCTCATTAAACGTCTGAAAATACACATACAAGCCACTTGTGTGTTCTTCTGTGCCATCTCTGTAGCACAAATTTATTTCTTAAATACTGATTTCATTCGATTGGCAACTTATTCTTCTTCTACTTGTTTTTATTCTATTGTTTTAATTAGAAATGTTAAAAAGCTTATAAATATATTTTTTTAAATTTTGATAAAAGATGACATACTTTTAATAAAGTTAGAAAAAATGCCATTACAAAGGTAAAAACAAAATTCCCTATAAATCACGTTAAGGAGTCAACTATCACCTCGTAATGAGAAGGTTAATTTTTTTATCAGAATTTTTGATTACTGATTAGAAGGTGCTATGACATACTTTTAATAAAGTTAGAAAAAATGCCATTACGAAGGTAAAAACAAAATTCCCTATAAATCACTTTAAGGAGTCAACTATCACCTCGTAATGGGAGGGTTAATTTTTTTATCAGAATTTTTGATTATTGATTAGAAGGTGCTCCTAAACTTTTGACCGTGCTCCTAAATTTTTTAAATTAGGAGCACAAGTGCTCCTAAAAAGAAAAGTATCCGTAGAGCCCTGCAATGGGATGTGAAAAGACTTCAACCAGCATAAAAAAATGTTTTTGAACCAAACCAGGTACCCTGCCATAAATAACAGACAGTGTGTGTGTGTGTGTGTGTGTGTGTGTGTGTGTGTGAGTGTGTGTGTATATGGTTGCCTGTTAAGTTTTGTATGCATTTCTAAATTCTGATAATTACTTCTTTTAAATGTTCTAGCTCCTCAAGTTCCTATCCAGTGCCATTATTGATAACTAAACTATTAAAAATAGTTTCCATTAACTGAAATAAAAAATATAGAATTAGATAAAAACTTAAAAGTTAGGTAAACTGAAATAAATCTAAATAGATATATTCCAAAACTAATAAAAATGACAAAAGCACATATCAAAATGATTACAAATTAAATTAAAACGAAAACTGAAAATATAAAGTAAAAGCTAGTTAAAACATTTTATAAATACTATAATATAGTATATAGACAATACTAAAATAACGCTATTCCTATAGTCCATTACATTTGCAAAATCCTGGTCAGTTAATTAATAATGCATGAAATCCACTCTCTTTTCCCATTTGGTTTCTCTGGAAAAGCCTTAATAGAGAGTTGTATGGGTTTCAGACAAGTAAATGTTACACATCAAAGTATATAAATGTTACATTTCAAATTATACAAGAGAATCTGACTTTTCAGATGGTACACAAGCTGCCATTTAAAATGAATTCATCTAATCAAAAATCTAATTATAATTCAGATACTTTACAATAGTTTTTGTCCTGAAATAAATTATGTTTTTTTTACACAGAAACTAACAACATCCACTGTGACTTCAGCAGGATAACAATTTCTACGTGGTTTAACTGCAAGACACATCCCCTATTATGTTGATATTTTCCTTTAGGCAAAATTATTTCTTAAACACGTCCAGGACATTTCTTTACGAGATTCACCCATAAGACTGAGGAAGAGCGAGAAGTCATTTAAGAGAGGAATGAAACACTGACGTTCATCGACAGCAGAATTTCACGGGGTCCAAACATCTAACAAATATAGCTGCTCACAGAGCATAAATGAGAAAGGCAGCAGAACAAAGCAGGAGCTGTAGAAAGAGCACAATAGTGGCCTGGAGGTCACTGGCACAAACAGAAGAGCAGGGCAGGAGGTGAAGTGGTGGTTGTGTGGTTTTAGAGTTACCTCAGCGTCCCATGCTGCCCCGAGCCCAGCTTGCTTAAGCCCTTCCCAAAAGAGTTTGTCGTGTAGAGATAGAAACCATCTGTAGCCAGGCTGCGGCCCAGGTCCGAGTCTGAGACGGGCAAACAGAGAGAGAAAGAGATGACAGAGAGTGTCTGAGGAGGCAAAAGACAGCAGAGACGCACCGCAAATTCCCTTTGAAAGGGAAAAATTACTTCTAGTCAACAGCAAAGTAGGAGCAGGGATTGTACTGGTATGCTTAGGGCCCTATGAAATCCATTGTATTTTTTCCAAACTCCAGTCAGTTTCTGTTTTTCGAGAATAAAGCATTTAATTTTTTCGGAATTCCATTTTTAACGGTAAACTAAATAGCAGTAATAAAGCATGTCTAAGTAATTAAAATCATTAAACTTACAATTTAACAACAATTTCTTAAAAGTTAAACCGAAATCTATATTTTTTTCCACAAATTCAGTTTTATTTTTCACAAATAATGTTTGTTTTACTTTTTTTTTTTTCACTTTAATGGTTTAGTTACATTTTAATAATCCAAAACATGTCTAATCAATTGAATAGAAATTGTTGTTGTTTTTTAGAAAATTCTGTGTTGTCTCTCTTAATTTTCCAGGAGTTATTATTTAATACAACTTCATTATCAAAAACGCATTTTTCTAACACTTTTTTTTTTTTATGTAATCAAATGAAAATGTAACAATTCCTTTTATTTTTTGGCAAACTTAGTGCTGCACAACAGAGGTTTACTGTTAAAAGTAAAACAGGAAAAAAATAAAATTGCAAGATATTCCTTAAAAAAAATACAAATATGTTTATTATTATTTGAGAAGTTCATTCTACCGCAGTTACATATTTCTGTTACAATTTCTTAAAGTTAAACCAAACTTTTATTTTGAAGGGTTGTCATGAAGACCACACAGAAACACAAAGAACATGCAGACTACACATTTAAACAGCTTCATATTTTCATAGTCTGCTTACGGTTTATTATTCACAGTTGTTTTTGTGTTGCTGCGCGCAAAGTAGGGCTGCACGATATTGCAAAAAACTCACATTGCGATATTTTGTTCTTCTGCTATATATATATATTGCGATATGGAGAAAAAAAAAAAAAAATTCACCAGATGACTTGAATAGCTCTATTTGGAAAAAAATTATCAATGATTGGAGTGATTTAGCAGGTGAGTAAATCAGCATAGAAAATAAACAAATTACAAGCACAGATAAATATAACCGAACGAAGATACAAATGAAATAAACATTGCTTAATATTAAAGTCTAACAGCATTCACGTACAGAAACCGAATAATCAAATGTAAAATAACACTGCATAGTCTTCACTTTATAAATTAAATCTAATAACTCTGTGTTAAAGCTACAAAAGTGATTTTTCTCTGTGTTTTGTTTAACATTCATGACACAGAAAGCAACAGGAACACTAAACTGTTGTGAACCAATATACTGTTACACATCCATTTTCTTTCTCGATTCTTTACCTTCATCTAAGCCATAAGCAACTGTGTTTACAAGGATACTTGCAGAGACATGCATTTTGACAAAATTCCGCGCGTATGTGTCATTACAGGCACAAATAATGCGATGTGACTATCGTGAATGCGCACATCGCGGCATCGATGCTCAAACGATGTATCGTGCAGCCCTAGCGCAAAGTATTGAGGTTGACAGACAGACCACTATATTATTATTTAGAGCAAAAAAAAAGCAGTAACAAGTTTTACATTTTAGAGACATTTTAAAGAATTGTGTGATCTTATAACTTTCTCAACGCAGTTACAAAAACTAGGGATGCACCGATATGAAAATTTTGGCCGATACCGATAACCGATTATTCTTTATTTTTGAAAGCCGATAACCGATATGTTGGCCGATAAATCTATATCCAAATTGTTATATACTTTTTGAGAGCCTGATTACAAAAGGTCAGCCATCTCTGTCGCTCACCTTTGCTCTCTGCTCCAGCGGCGCTGCTCTCTGGCGTGGGCAGCATGTCCTCAAAGCCCCACGAAACACTGTGTTTCGCCCCTAACAAGCAGGACGGTGAGCCTGGACCTCCCTCAAGAAGCAGCAGTCTACAAGTGAGAGGATATTAGGATATTCTGAAAAATCATGTCAATAAAGCCCCAGAAAAAAACAGCCAGTAACACCTTTCCTAAAATACAACATGAAGACACGACGACTCCTAGTAAAGTTACCGTTATAAAACTGGTTAATAATTCCCACCCTGTTTATTCTGCACCATTCATAAGAGTTAACAGAAGCGGTTTAATATGTCTTCACAGACAGTAATATCACGACACAGCTCACCTGTAGAGAACATCCGCCACTGGAAGCTGACCCAGGTCTGTCTGTTTCTGCAGCAGGTGGACCGTGTGAATGAACGTTTTGAGAGAACCCCTGCGAACACAGACAGAGCAACAGAGTTGTGTTAGTTTCCTTGCTGTATTCCCCTGTTTTTTGACTGATATAGTGATGCATGTAGCTAAGAAATCAAGAGAGACTCCTTCCTAGACATATCAGATCAAAAGTGGTTGAAGGAGAGGCATTGAGTACTTTAGTACTTAAGTGCCGTGTGTCTCAGCTTACCATTTATGACTGACTGGATAAACGGCTTGTTTAAAAGGGCCAAAAATGCATTGAGAGTACCATACTTAACTGGGGCAACTATACTGAGATATAAACATTTTAACTAACAGATATCATCATAATTCCAATTTTGAACATTGTATAAAGCCAGGTTTAAAATTCTTCTTCATTTTGCTAAAATAATTAGTTAAATGACTTGCATGTTAGAGTTACATATGGGATTATGGATCTATTTTTATTACTCCATAAATCAGAAAAACTCTCAATAGAAAAAAAAAATCTTTTTAGAAATTAAATGTGATATAAATAAAAATCAGAACATAGGAATAAAACTAAAGTTTTATGCAAGTGTGGAAAAAGTGAGAAAAATCTCAGCATTTAAAAATATGAATTTTAATTGAACTCCAAAGATGCAAATACATAAAGCGCAATAATATAACTTTTCTTTCCACTAGTGTGAAAAAGACATGTTATGGAAGAAAATAGCTAGTGATGCACTGAAATTTCAGCAACTGAAAATATTCAGCCAAAACAGCCATTTTTGGTTTTGGCTGGGATATTTTTGGAGAGCTGAAATCATTGATTAAAAACAGTGGCGTTTAACTAGTGTTTCTCCAATGGTGGATTTTGACTGTTTCATTGTCTGTTTCATGCACGTGGATAAACTACAAACAAGCAAGCACAGTGCTGCTGGATTAACCATATCAATTTCTCATTTTTACACAATACTGATATGGATTCTTAAATCTCAAGATCGATCTTTTAGTTTGTGCTGTTTTCTGTTGCACGAACTTCACTAAATATTATTTGTAGCACCTGTCATCCAATAATCACAATAAGATGTGTGCTTTGTCACTTTTAATATGAAACAAAGTCTCAGCTTTCAAATTGTTAATTTGATCATTATCATGTCTCATATAATCACTCAGTGTTTCAACCGTGGAAAGATGTCAATAAAACCATGTCACAACCACATTTACCTCAAGAAAGACATTCAATGTTCATAAACCTGGTAATCAGCTATAAAATGCGCTATATTACATGTAGGGTCGAAAAGGAGTGGTTTTGTGATACTGACACTGGTGACAAGAATTATGAAATTTCTATGGTATCAAAAATTTTAATATCATAAAGACCTTATTTAAAGCAAAAATAACTATATTGTGATATATATTGTTACCGTGAAATAAAATTACTCGTATCTTGATGTAAGATTTTGGTCATATCGCCTACCCCTAATGTGATTAATTAATTGGTTATTAAAGGGATAGTTCACCCAAAAATGAACATTCTGTCATTAATTGCACACCCTCGTGTCGTTCCAAACCTGTAAGACCTCCGTTCCTCTTCAGAACACAAATTAAGATTTTTTTTATGCAATCCGAGAGCTCTCTGACCCTCCCATAGACAGCAACACAACTGAAATGTTCCCAGGTCCAGAAACATAGCAAGGAAATCGGTAAAATAGTCCATGTGACAATACGTTTTGTGTGCAAAGAAAACAAAAATAATGACTTTATTCAACAACTGATGAGGAGAAGAATTGTTGAATAAAGTTGCTATTTTTGTTTTCTTTGCGCACAAAAAGTATTCCCATAGCTTCGTAAAATTACAGTTGGACCACTGATGTCACATGGACTATTTTACCAATTTCCTTACTATGTTTCTGGACCATTTTGGTGCATCACTAAAAATAGCCCAAAATCTCAAAACTGACCAGTGCATGAAAAAACAATGATTTTGCAAACTATTGCAAAGTGACTAAAAGCCATAAATAAAGGCTGAAGCTGAAAACGAGTAGACGTTGTACTGCGCTCACCTTGCACATGATAGAGCCACTAGAGCAGCTGCTGCGTTCTGCCTCTGCTGTTGGGTGAGCAGTGGTCTCGCCTGTGCCGTTCCCTCCGGCTCACTCTTCTCCTCCAGCCAGGAGCAAAGCAACCTCTCCAGGCCATTAAGGCAGTCTGCAGGCTCCTTGCCCAGGCTGAGCGGCTGGCAGTCGCGCAGACACGCGAGCAGGACCTCAGCGGTGACGCCGCAGAGCGCAGGGTCGTGCCGAGTTTGCGACTGCAGTAGTGGAAAGACCAACAGGAGGCCGACGCGTGAGGTAAACGGCGCCTGATCGGTGCCGGCGGCCATCGGAGGGTGGTGAGGATGGTGGTGATGTTGAGGCTGCAGGAAGCCCTGTCGCTTAAGCAGGGCCAGCGTCTCCTCGTCGGCCCCTCCGGCGCTCCCTGGGAGGACCCCGTCATGCTCCTGCTGCTCCTCTAGGGCCAGCTGTCGCTGCGCCCCCCACAGTCCGCGCAGAGCATTGAGACGGTACTCCAATAGTCTGGTGTAAGCGTTGCTCTGGTTTCCGCAGACGGCTCGCAGGCGCTCGGCAAGCTCCGCTGGGTTCTTGGTCTCGAATGTCAAGATCTGCAAGAGCACAGAAAAGACCCTCATCAGGCTAATCTAAAATTAGCTACTTGCTTCAACGCTGTCAAACTCAGGGATTGTATCTAGCAATTTAAGTGAAAATAAAAAATAAAACAAATGAATGATTAAGTATGTACAACCCTATAAAAGCTATAATGGGAACACATCCCCAAAATTATTAGTTGCATAATTAATTTAATTTATTAATTAATTATTATTTTAAACATACTAGTAATAAAACATACTAACAGTATAAAATGTGTGTGTGTACACACACATATATATATATATATATATATATATATATATACACACACCTGATGGTTTTCCATCTAATTCTTCACATTAATTCTTAAATCTTTTGCCGTTAACATGTCTTTTCTTCTCCACCTGTTTTTTCTGACCTCGCTGACCAAGTGAGCATTTTGCTGTCCAATGGTCATGTCTTAACTTTGCAATTTCTGTATTGCATTAGTTTTGAATATTTCTCATGGGGATTTAATAATTTTTGACTTTCTGGCTTTTTTTAACAGTCTGAGTTAAACCTCTTTTTTAGCTCATTTTTTCAGTAAAAGAAAACATGCCTAATAATTCTGCACACCTGAATATAAGTTTTTCACTTCCAGCCTTCATGGACAATTGTATATCACTTATAAATGATTAAATACAAAAATAATAGTCGTTATTAAGATTGTTGTGGTTTGGAATTGGTAAAATGTGCTTGGAAAAAAAATATCAGAACCCAATGAGCATTTTCCTGTCCAGTGGTCATGTCTTAACTTTGTAATGTCTGTATTGCATTAGCTTTGAATATTTCTCATGGGGATTTAACCATTTTTTACTTTTCAGTCTGAGTTAAACCTCTTTTTTTGGCTCATTTTATCTGTAAAAGAAAACATGCCTAATAATTCTGCACACCTGAATATAAGGAGTGTTTCACTTCCAGCCGTCATGGACCATTATATATCACTTATAAATGATTAAATACCAAATTAATAGTAGTTATTAAGATTGATGTGGTTTGGAATTGGTCAAATGTGCTTGGAAAAAAAATATCATCAGAATATCAACGTGCCTAATAATTATGCATGCGGTGTATAATAACCTTTTTCTGGATTAGGATAACACAAACTTTTTTTTAAATATCTTGCAATATTCTTAAAACGCTGGCCGAAAACAACATATCTCACAATATACACATCACCATGGAACAGGCCAAACTAATTTTTTTTTGTTTATATACATACTTGAAGAGTCATACAATCAACAAATGATTTAAAGTATTAAAAATACTGGTTTATCTATTATACCTGCTCAACACCGTTTCTTTCATGCAAGCAGTGAGCAGTATTTCCTTTCTTACTGAGCATTTCTTTCTGAATCCTCTCCATTAGACAGTTTGCCCAATTTCAGGTTGCAGCTCACTTGCTGAAAACATACCTGGCAACTATATATAATTATTTGATATAAATGCACAATTAATCTAGCTATTACTCTCAGGTAATTCGCTCAGTGCGCAACAAACAAGGCCTGGTTCCACTGGCTTAAGTTACAAGAAGCACACAAAACTTGCTTCATTTCAAGATGGACATGACTGAAAGTAATGAGTCAGAAGTTTATTCTGTTACTGAACAAACATTGACACATTACCATCAGTGATGTACAGCAGAAAATAACACGTCTTTCCCTTGCGAGCCGCACACAAAAAGCAACCAGTTTAGTCCAATTCACAACAAATGACTCATGCATTGGACACCTCTGGCCGACGACACACAGCATCCTAAAATTTCATAAAGTTTTCAATTCAATTGCATTATATTTGTCCCAAACCACTGTTTATTACCAACTGAGCCGCAACTTTTGCTACTTTTGCTGTAAGATCAAGCAAAAGTAGTGTTTTGACATCAATGCTGAAAATAGGGAAACTGCATAATATACTGTATAATCGCCCTTTCTAATGCATTTTCCATTCATCAAACGTTAGACTCATTTTGTTCACTCTTAAAGTGAACTTTTGAACTTCAGAATGAAGATTAGATTCACTGTTGCTACCTGTGTGTTTTTCCACCTGTAGAATCAAAAGACTAAAAAAAATAAAGGCATGCTGCAACAGACTGGAAGTGCACAGAGACATCTGTATGGCAACAAACGAGAGGAAAAACAACCAGACGGATCTAAAGGAGGAGAAGGGGGTTCTGGAGATGGCCTGTATTGCTACAGTATACAGTGCCACAAAAAAAACACTAAACAAAACAAATTAAAAAGCCAACTACCTGTGCTATTCCTTCTTATTTACAAACCTGAAACGCTGATATACACGTGGCAGAGTTGTGATGTTGGAAGAGGCATATTAATGTAAAACACGGCAGAAACACAATATGGATAATATCATATAATCTACATATAATATAAAGATCAGTGAGTGGAAAGCATGTGTGTAGCCAAATGGTGTTTATCATTGAGCTTTCGCGGTTTTCGTCACATATGTTTGTGATACCATGAATAGGTAAGTAACAGAAATTAATATTTTTTCATAATTTTCAAATCAGATGTAGTTATTGGGGTTTATTGATCACAATATAATCAGTTTCGTTTAGATTGCATCAATGTTATGTTTCTGAATGCATGGCACGTCGTAATAACAAACGCATGCACTTGAAGGCAGCATTCAATTCTTAGTTATGACTACCGAACAGACATTTGGAAGTTCTGAACCTCAAAATGTGTAAATATTTACGCTGTTTAAAAACTTTACTTGCATTTTTACAACACTGTAAGTGTGTCCCATCAGGTTACAGAGGAAATGCATCATGCAAGTAGACGAGTGGTCCAAGTGCAGTGACCACAAGTGTGGTATTGGGACGGGCCCTGACAGTAGATGCATCTCAGTTTGCGTATTACTCTATGCTATTTTGTAGTATGCATAGTGTGAGTAAGTGTGTACGCACTGAAAATTCCAAAAAAGGATAAACAGAGCAATTCCAAGAGGTGCATGGGCCCTAAAAAGTGTACCGGATGGTGCACTTAATTAACCATTTAAAGACTAAAATAAATAAATATCTGATTAAACTAAATAAGAACATAAATGTGTAATTTAGTAAATAAATATAAAAAAGTACAGTACTACAATCAGTAATAATGTAAAAAATAATACTGAATGAAATTTTCACTATATAAATTAGGTCTTTATGCAAGAAACTATATAGAGACCTTTTAAATATTAGGATGAGGGACACTAAGACTATCATATTTGGGGGTCTGTGGCATCTAAAAGATTGAAAACCCCTGTTTGTAGAGAGTACATTATTTGGGACACAGCTTTTGTCGTGACTCATATTGCACTTATATTTCTCCAATATGATACATAAAAATGATACACAAAATACGATTCAGTCACACAGATGTTTCCTTTAAAGGGGTCATATGATGCTTTTTTAAAGATCATTAGTTTGTGTATTTGGTGTAACAGAATATGTTGACATGCTTTAATGTTCAAAAAACACATTATTTTTCAAATACTGTACATTATTGTAGGTCCTCTATGCCCCGCCTCTCTCAAATGCTTCGTTTTCTACAAAGCCCCTCCTTCCGACAAGCGCAGTCTGCTCTGATTGGCCAGCTGACCCAGTGCATTGTGATTGGCCGAACACCGCAAGCACTCGTCAGAAATGTAACGCCCCTTACCATAATCGCAAGCTTCATCTTTCAAACTAAATGTAAAGACAGAGCCCGAAAGGGGAACAGAGTCGCGTGACAGACACAGTGATGAAGCTGGTATGTGTTTGCAGTACACAAGCCACGGTTAAGACAGCTGACTCCACTGTGATGTGACCCTGTCTCTCTCTCTCACGCACGCACGCACGCACACACACAATGCGCAAAACTCCACATTTGAACAGTCAATAGCAAATACCAGATTGTCATAGCAAAGTCAGAATGACCTCCTCTCCTAGGTTCACGAAACGGTCGTCCATAAAATGCATTGCTGTTCTGTTGTAAGTGATCTTAAAGATTCCTAAATGCATCTACTTCCGGAAGGCCAAATAAAGTGCTTTTGCTTTCGCACTGAAACACACAGCGTCTCCCTGACATGCTGCTTCAACACTAACTGCGGTTACTGAAACCACGCCTTCTTTCTTTGCGTGCACATTTGGGCGCATTATGCTAATATTTCCACATAGTGAGGTAGATATGTGGGGGCGTGTTAGAACAAGGCGTTTTAGGTAGGCGTGGCTGACTCTTAACTTTGATAAAGAATATCTCTTTGGTTTTGAGACTTTAGTCTTTGCAACTTCAGGGATCTTATCTATGCACAATCAGCTTGTAACACTCCAAAGAGAAAGCAAAACTTGAAATCCCATCATATAACCCCTTTAATAAGAGAATCTTTGTCCACACAAATCCACCAGCAATAGCAAGCCATTCTGGTTTCCTTGGTATACTCGTTGCAGCATTCTATTTGGGGCACACTAATTCTAATCTTGCATACTATTTAGGGTGGAGGGTATGTGAACTGGGACACATAGATAGTACATCGCCAAGCAACGCCCTTTAGCCGTTACTAAATGACTACAGTTTATAATGTCTACTCATGTTTTATTACTTAAATAAATTACTTATGGAGGAAAATGGCATTGTGTGCTTAGTTCAACATTTGTGTTAGAGCGTTTAGGTTACTGTAATAGTGAAGAAAGCCCTAACTTATCGTACTGAGGGAAATGTCACCAGTGTTGGGGGTAACGCATTACAAGTAACGTTACGTAATCAGATTACTTTTTTCAAGTAACTAGTAAAGTAACGCATTACTTTTTAATTTACAAGAGAATATCCGAGTTACTTTTTCAAATAAGTAATGCAAGTTACTTTATTTTCCAATGTATTGATTGACAGCTCTGGTGTCGCCATGTCGAGAGAAATCAGAAGATGTTACTGTAGTTCTAAAATAAATATGAATATGCATGAATTCATCTCACGCACACACAAAAAACAGATTCAGTATTCCTCAAAATGAATAAAAATAATGCATAATGCAATAATGCAACTCAGAATATGATGCAAACCTGCAATAACTATATGTTAAACAACACAAATATCCTTTATGTATTTAATCCCATTCTATTAAACAATGTCTTTGCTTCTGACCTTCAATGATCCAGTTCAAGCGTACTAATAAGCACAAATGACTCTAGACCCACATTTGCGTGTCTTTGTTTATTGCTGAAGTGTGTTGAAATTTCTTCTTCTGCATTCTACTGTACGGCCGTAATTTTATATTTCACTTCAGGTGTGAAAAGGCTTTTATATTTGCCAAAAATAGAACTTGTTTTATTTTAAAAACAAACAAGCATGCCCTGTCCAGATTGAAAAAGTAACGTAAAAGTAACGTAACGCATTACTTTCCATAAAAAGTAACGAGGTACCGTAATTAGTTACTTTTTTCTGGAGTAACGCAATATTGTAATGCATTACTTTTAAAAGTAACTTTCCCCAGCACTGAATGTCACTATCATAACTAACGTTATAAGTTGTCGTATTTGGGCGTCCTACATCAGAATTGCATGCATTGTCTTGAATTGAATTGTAAATGCATCCTACGCACAGGTCAATAGCTGGCTGCCACACGCCAGTGAGAGATTCATCTCCCCCTAATACTAGCCTGCCTGTGCTATGCTAACGCTAACAAAACTGTGTGCCTCTCTCATTATATACGACATGCACATTTACAATAACAATCTTAAAGAGTTGTGTATAAGCGTCGTTAATCCATCGGCCGTTAAATGCAGTATTTAATCCGGCTCATAACGGGTTTAGAGCATGTTTACATCAACCGGAAAAACACGATATGTGATTTAACACGACTAAATGCTTAATTCATCCAGTCCCAGGCGAGCCGAGCTAGCGTTAGTTAACTTTGGTGTTAAGCTAATAAATGCATACCTCCTGCTCGGACTCCCCTTGTTCGGACACACCGATCTCGCTGGGCAGCTCCGCCAGGTCCGTGACCCGAATTAGTCCATCGTGGAGGAAAATAGTCTCTTCCTTCACTGACAGCCACTGGGAGGAATCCACGGCACCCGATCCCATCGCTTTCTCTCCTCCGAGGAAAAAGGGCAAAGTGGTCAAACATCAAATTCAACGCGCGACGGGATCAGATTCAGCGCGAGCCGGCGACAGATATCCGCATCATCACTGAGCGCTCGCGCAGATGAGGTACGACGCCCATGCGATGCGATGCGAGGCCTCGCTGCGGATCGATTCGCCAGCCTCTCAGCTCAGCAGGGTCCAGTGTACCCTAAGTACTGTATACTTCAGTTTTTAGTCATACGCTAGTGTATGCATACAGTGAGCACGATGCCCAAAGTACTGCATACTTCATTTTTTTATGTGCATACTAAGGTATGCGTACCAATACAGCACACATTTTTAAATCCAATGCTAGCATGCGTACAGTGTGCATGAAGACCAAATTACAGTATACTTTGGTTTTGTGCTTACATTAGGGTATGAGTACAGTGTACTTGAAGCCCAAAGTTTAATTCAGTTAGTACGCGTAAGCTAGGGCATACATACAGTGAGCATGATGCCCAAAGTACTGCATACTTCATTTTTATGTGCATACTAGGGTATGCTTACCATACAGTACACATTTTTTTTTTATATGCAATGCTAGCATGTGTACAGTGTGCATGAAGACCAAATTACGGTATACTTTGGTTTTGTGCTTACATTAGGGTATGTGTACAGTGCACTTGAAGCCCAAAGTTTAATTCAGTTAGTACGCGTAAGCTAGGGCATACATACAGTGAGCATGATGCCCAAAGTACTGCATACTTCATTTTTATGTGCATACTAAGGTATGCTTACCAATACAGCACACATTTTATATGCAATGCTAGCATGCGTACAGTGTGCATGAAGACCAAATTACAGTATACTTTGGTTTGTGTACAATGCACATGAAGACCAAAGTATACTCAGGTTTTATGGCTATGCTAGGGCAAGTTTAGACTTACAGTGCACTTGAAGCCCAAGGTTTAATTCAGTTTGTATGCATAGGCTAGGGCATACATACAGTGCATGTGATGCCCAAAGTACTTAGGTTTTACATGCACGCTAGGCTATGCATACTTTGCTTGTAAAGTACTGGATACTTCAGTTTTTATGTGCATACTAGAGTATGCTGTTTTTTATATGCAATGCTAGGGCATGCATACAGTGTGCATGAAGCCCAAATTACGGTATACTTTGGTTTTGTGCTTACATTAGGGTATGTGTACAGTGCACTTGAAGCCCAAAGTTTAATTCAGTTAAGCTAGGCTAGGGCATACATACAGTGAGCATGATGCCCAAAGTACTGCATTCTTAATTTTTATGTGCATTCTAGGTTATGCTTACCATACAGTACACAATTTTTTAATATGCAATGCTAGCATGTGTACAGTGTGCATGAAGTCCAGATTAGTGTGTGCTTTGGTTTTGCGAGTACACTAGGATATGTGTACAGTGCACATAAAGCCCAAAGTATACTTAGGTTTTATGGCTATGCTAGGGCAATTTTAGGCTTACAGTGCACTTGAATGCCAGAGTATACTTTGTTTTACAAGTACGCTAGGGTATGCATACAGTGCTCGTAAAGCCCAAAGTACTGCATACTAGTTTATGCTTACCATACAGCGCACACTTTTTATATGCAATGCTAGGACATGTATACAGTGTGCATAAAGTCCAAATTACTGTATACTTTGGTTTTGCGCGTACGCTCCATGCCATGTTGTGTACAGTGCACATAAAGCCCAAGTATACTTAGGTTTTATGGCTATGTTGGGGCAAGTTTAGGCTTACAGTGCAAGGTTTAATTCAGTTTGTATGTACAAGCTAGGGCATACATACAGTGCATGTGACGCCCAAAGTACAGTATACTAAGGTAGTAAAAGTACGCTAGGGTATGCATACAGTGCTCGTAAAGCCCAAAGTACTGCATACTTATGTTTATACTAGGGTATGCTTACCATACAGCACGTATGTTTTTATTTGCAATAGGGCATGTGTGCATGAAGCCCAAATTACTGTATACTTTGTTTTTGCGCATACACTAGGGTATGTGTACAGTGCACATAAAGCCCAAAGTATACTTGTGTTTTATGGCTAAGGCACGTGTAGGCCTACAGTGCACTTGAAGCCCAGAGTATACTTTGTTTTTTTATACGTACTCTATGCCATGTCATGTGTACAGTGCACATGAAGCTCAAACCATACCTCGGTTTTTAAGCATACACTAGACTAGGGTAGGTGTACAGTGCACTTGAAGCCCAAAGTTAAATTCAGTTTGTACGCGTAAGCTAGGGCATACATACAGTGTGTGTGACGCCCTAAGTACTGTATACTTAGGTTTTACATGTACGCTAGGGTATGCATACAGTGCTCGTAAAGCTGCATAAGCTGCATATGTGTACAGAGCATGTGAAGCCTAAAGTATACTTTGGTTTTCATGTGTATGCTGAAGTATGCATACAGCGCACATGAAGTCTAAAGCACACTGCTTTTTTACGCATATGCTAGGGCATACATACACTGCCGAAATTATACTTCGGTATTTTTGCATACGCTAATGTGCATGAAGCCTAAAGTACTGCATACTTCGGCTTTATGTGTACGCTGGGTTATGTGTACAGTGCACTTGAAACTTTTAATGCATACACTACTAGGCATGTGTAGAGTGCACTTGAACACTAAAGTATACTGTACTTCTTTTGTTGCAAGTACAATATAGGTCATGCGAACTTGATGCCTAATGTATAAATAATACTTCAATTTTTACACATACAGTATGTGTGAAGACCAAAGTATACTCGGTTTTATGCGTATGCAAGGATATGTGTATAGTGCACATGCAGCCCAAAGTATTCTCCTGTATATCTTGGTTTTTATGTGTCCGCTAGTGCATGATTACAGTGTGCATGAAGCCAATTTTTGGGCATGTCATCATCTAGTGAGATGCAGTGGGATATGAACTGGGATGTAAGCTATTGCAAGGGGCCAAGGGGTTGCTGGTTAGCATGGCCTCATTAGCCCCTGCTGGTAGATGCTGTAACTGCAACATGTGACTGCAAGCAAAATGCATCTTTCTGGGTTGACTCCGATTTCAAAACTCTGAAGAGGTTGAACTAGTGCTTATTCTGCCTCTCAAGAAATGCAAAAAAAGGAGGTCTTATTTTGACCCTTTTATAATATTCAACATATTTTTACTCAAATATTTTACTTAAAAATGACACATTTTCTGAAATCTCCAGTTTCATGGCAACACAGCTTAAAAACCATGGCTGATAGGAGAAACATATAAAATATTAATCTCATACTTACAGAAAAAAATGGTACAGAAGCTGTCGCTGGGGCAGTACCTTTTCAAAAGGTACACTTTTGTATCTCTTAGGTACTAATATGTACTTTTAAGGTACCAATATGGATCCAATATGGAAAAGGAATATGCACATGTTCTTTTTTTCTGCACCATACAGTTGAAAAAAAAATCATGAGGTAATATTTAAATATGAAATATTATATTTTATCACTCAAGTAGAGCAGAGATTTGAGTACCAACAACTGGAGTTGCATCAGGCGTGTGAACAACAGGTTAAATACAAAGAAAGTAAAAGACTGAGCTGTAAATATATTGTTAGTCTTATTCAGAAGTCAATTTCCATTTGTATTGGTGTTCTAAATAATGTCTGATAATTTATTACTACACTGTGCTACTGGAAAACTGTTCCCCCCTTTTTGCTGACATGCTATGACTGAAAAAGTTATTGCTGAGACTTAAAATGAAAAGCATTTTGATTAGACACATTAAACACACAATCGTTTAATACCATCTTGAAGGGATTGTCCAACCAAAATTTAAGTTTTAGTTTTTTTTCAAAATAGTGGCTTTGTGGAAGTGTGAGCATTATGTGTGACCGTTTGATTTGGGGGCATTAAAAATTGAGAGATTTTTTTACTTAATTTGCAATTAGGTTGCAGGTATTTTTGGGGAGGATCATTATCATTGGGAAAATTTTGATTGGACAAAAAAAAAAGACCCCCCCACCACCACCACAATATCCTACCTGAAGGAAAACACACATAGACTAAAAGCAACAAAACTATACAAGAGCATTTAATGAGTTATGAAACCATTAGAAACCAAAACGAACACTTTTCCATTCATTTTAATATTTGTAAATACTATTGGTCTGCAGATTGTTACTATTAAAAATGTTTGATTTTAAAGAGATTTCTGTTGACATTCTGTAAGTTAAAAAATAAATGTTGATTTTGATGTTGGGCCGCTATTTGATGCAAAATCTGGGTCCTGATGCAAACCACTGGAGAGCCACCAGACCAATTGAAAGTCTCAGCAAGAAGAACCACGGTTGACAAGACTTTTTGACATGCATGGAATGGGTTTGCTAAATCAAATTAGGTTTAATTGGTTTAAAAGCTGAAAAAGATGATGTTGATGATTTTGAGGCTGTAATACATTTTGTGAGCTCGTTCTACAGCAGTAAAGGAATGAAGCTGATCACTGAATGTAATACTGCGGTGTTATCATCATGCTGTCTTTCAGAAAATCCATCTGGCGAGAAGTTCAAATGAAGAAAGTGTTTATCCTGCTGTGTGAGTAATACCAAGCATACCGCAGTAAATTGCAGCAGCACTTATTTCCTGACACTTCAGGCGAGGATTATGCTCACAGTAGTCGAGTTTATACCAAGTGTCTGTCAGACAGCATATCAAAAGTATCACATATTTTAGCAGAAGGAATTGCTGCAAGGCTGTTTAATGTTACCTCAACTGGTTTTTGGAGAAGTGACAGCAATATGAGCATCTTAGATGTTTCAGAAATGTCTGTCCCTGTGTAATAATGTTAATACAAATTTGATTTATTCATGCTTCATATCAACTTTTATAACAGTGGTCTGTAATAATTTCAATAAAAACGAGCACTTTTGGTCCTAACACAACATCAGTTGAATTCTACAGTATATTAATATTCTAGGTTTCTACAATTAGGCCTAGGAACTATATTACTTGGCTGATTGTGATTATTTTTATCATTATTATTTAATTTTCTTTTTGTATTTTGTGGGTGAGAACATACAGTATATTATTAACATTCATGCCAAGTTAACGTGGCTCCAGCAGCTGCATGTACTTCATAGATTGATCAATCCATTGCAGAAATGGTAATTAATTAATACTTGGCAAGCTGCATAATAAAAATGTGACATCCTTTCCCTGACTTGGCGTTTATGATAAATGCCCTTTTCTTAAGAACACATTTCAACCTTTCAAGATCACGTTCATTATGTACTTGACTCTTTTATTACATTCTTTTTTTTTTTAACAAATAACAGTAAATATAAATATATAATGATATATAAACAAAAATATAATGATATTGACATTTTAGGAGGATACAACTATTATTTTAAATGAGGATTATGTGCCTCTGGGTCTGAGAGCAACAAACTTAAACACTGCTAGAGAAAATAAGCATGCAGTTTTTTGGACTGGCTTCATATTATGAGTGCAGTATTCTCAGCTGTAAATTGATGTGTGTAATTTATTGCTTGCGTCATTGTTCAATATCTTAACTTTTAAGAGAATGCTTGCATTGTTGCTTTCAGAATGCTTTGTTTAGCTGGTGTGACAGTCAGCGTTACCGGACAATATATGCCATGCTTTTGTCTTCACTAAAAAACAATCACAGAATTACATAGAGTGCATTAATGTATTTCCAAAACCCATTCTGTAATTTCACAGTTTACCTAAAAGCCTTTTGTTGTAGCAGCTGTTAGATTATTGGTATACTGGTAATATTACTGAGCTAATATATTCTTAAACGCCTCATTTTAAAATACCAAATCTGGGCCGTGGTTCAAATGCAGCCCTACAAGTTTAGCAGTGTCGCCCACCACCGTCTGGACTTTTTCTCATTTTAGGAATGTTTAAATTGTGCCGATACAATAAAACTTACATTCACTTTAACATTATTTTTAATTGGCAAACTAAGTCCAGAAGCAATTACAATTCATTGAGTCATTTGCTTGTTATTAATCACAGCATTATAGCATGCGAATGCGTGTATGTGCATATACTGAGGTTGTTGGTAACTATACATTTAAAAACATATGAAATATCATTGCTTAGTATCATTTTTTAAATTGTATTAACACCTGCTTAAACAACAAAAGTCACTAAAGTCTGTACGTATTAAAAGAGCAAGGCTTGATAATTGTGACTTTGTGGCTTTATGCATATTTTTTTAAAAAACGTCTCAGGTTACTTATGTAACCATGGTTCCCTGAGTAGGGAACGAGACACTGCGTCCTCTAGGTTTCTTCATAGCGACCGCTAGAGGACGCAGTTCGAAGTTCCCATGAAAGGGAACGTCTCAGGTTACTTATGTAACCATGGTTCCCTGAGTAGGGAACGAGACACTGCGTCCTCTAGGTTTCTTCATAGCGACCGCTAGAGGACGCAGTTCGAAGTTCCCATGAAAGGGAATCTATTTTTCATGCTTTAAAGATTTGTCTCTTCGCTCATCATTGTTTTGGGGATTTAATTCGTTTTTCCTTCTTTTTCTTTTTACCTCTTTTTCTCTTATTTTGAAGTGTCCTTGCTCCTGATTTAGTTACAGACATGTGTTTGGACTGAGTGGCCTTGTGCACTGAGAGTAATTTCGTATTAGATGAGGTTGAAGGTGAGTGAGTGACACTTGCTTTTGGAGTCCCATGGGTGCTTTGAAGAGTAGTTTCCATTCTGAACTTCTGAGTAATCATTTTCTTCTCTTTGGATGCCTTCCTTTGGGAAACGAGTGACTGCTTTCTTCCTTTTCGATGTCCATTTGTTTGTAGTTTCTTCTGTTTCTCAATTCGGCTCACCAACTTTTGACTCAGCTGAAATGTTTCCCCTTTTGCGTAGTCCACTGGAGCGCAGGTTTTTCGGCCCTTTGTCAGTTGAATTCGTTTCGGTTTAGAGGTTCTTTGTTTGCCGCTGTGTGAACGTTTGATTGGCGCTTCATTGCATGAAAGGTCAACGGTGCCGCCGTTCTCATTAGTCAGACTGGTAGAATTGTACGGTGTTGAATCTTTCCATACGGCCACAGGAGCAATCTCAACCATTGTGCACCTGCAGGGAGAGATTGAAGAACTCATTACAGCACAAATGCATTGAGGTGTATCTATAGACAAAATAAAACATATTGCTGTCAACATTTTTCTAAAAGCATACTCAGAATAGAATAGAAAATGGATGGAGTAACAAGACCAGGGTTTTCAAGCAGTGCTTAGGATTATTTCTTTAGACTTTTTGCCAGAAAGAAGAAATAAGAATCTTGGTAAAATTGTTGGATAGACACAAGCTATAGCTACCCATTTTTATTTTCTTTAAGATACTAGTCGCACATAAGCTCCAAAATACCAGTAACTTATGTGATGTCAGTCATCTGGAATGAGCTTTTCTTTTTTGATTCCCAGTGACAAGCATAAGGGCTCGACCACACAAAAAGAAAATCGCAAGACGGCCCACAATAGCTGCATAATAATAACCAACTGCAGAGCTGCGGTGCTGATGAATAGAAAAGACGGCAAAGTCTTGAGACGTGTTTTTAAATTCGCTGTGCTCATGCATGAGACGCTGAAAAAAACGGCAAGATGCAAGCACCAGCAGCAGGCAAACATAAACATATTCATTTAGCACTTATTTATACAGAAAAACAAAAAGCAAGATGGATGGCAGTGGAATGGGGGAAAATTCAAGATGCATTTTTGATGCACAACATAAACATGTCACTACAAGATGTTTTCCCTCTACATTTCAAATCATTATTTCGGCATTTGTTCAAATTAGGAAAATTATTTAGAGGTGATTTCTGGCGTGGATGGACAGGACAGAGACACCATAATAGTGACTTTGTTTTCTGCTCATGATCAGAATGTTTTGATTATTCGATCACTGTTTATTGTCAGTAGATTATTATAAAAACTATTTAGTTGTTCAGGATCTTGTTTTTCTTCTTCTTTTACAAAGTACTACATGCTGTCCAAATGGAGATGTGTAACTTTTCCGAAAAAAGTGTTGTTTGGACCTCCGCTGGGATACAAAATAAACACAAAATATGGCATAACAGACACATTTATACACAGAATCTGAAAATTGTACATTTGTAAACTTGCAAATAACATATCTGTACGTTCATTTAAACAATTACGTGTTTTTTCCCCATTATATTTCTACTTTTGTACATAGTGCATTATTTAATTTTCTGTTTTTATTTTCTGTTATATTCCATCTCTACTGTTTAATTCCTATGCATGTTTGCACTATCATGTATGTTTGCACTATGCGTCTTCAACTCCTCATCCCACAAAACTGCTGGAATTAATTTTTCAGTATTTCTTATAATGTCTAATAAAATGATGCAAAAGCCCCATTTTTAATAAAGCATAATTCATAACTGCTTGGGAAACGTAACCTCTGCATGGCAATTTGACAGTGACTTTCTCCACAGGACTCAACACGACTTGCTTGAGGTTAGCCATAGCCTTGACTTGTCTTGTTTAATTTTGTGCACTGCAACATGAGACTTGACTCAAGGATTTATTTGCTTATGCCCTGTATATAAGTAACTTACTCCCAACCCGTCTGTGGGAGAGAACGGGAGAAGGAAAGCGTGTTTTCGGTACATAAAAAAGGTGGAAGACATGGAAATAGTTTGTCATTTTTACCATATCATTTGTTATATTTGCAATGTCTTCTGGGGTTTTGTTTTTTTTACTGTTGTAGATATCCAATAGTATAACAAAAATATTATATAGGCCTATCTCTTTATTGTGTTTGGGCCCTCCCTGGACGAGCAAGCATAGGCACGTGCCTAGAATGCCTATATGCGTAAATCCGGCCCTGATTATAGAGAAACGCATCCTACCAGCAGCAGTAAAATTCAACACCATGATTATCAAAGAATGTCCAAACAAATATAAGCAAATCCCTTGGACAATGAATCTAGTAAAATTGTTACAGGATACACAGTTAATACAGAAACTGGAAGAGGCTGGAAATTGAACCCTTTTATATATGAGTGAGGGATCAATGATTCTGTAAATGTTGAAAACACCTGCTCTATGACTATGAGCATATTAAAACCTTATAATGATGCCATGCAAATGATTCTATGGGGAAAAAAGGATGTCAGTGTAGACCTTGATGTGAATTATGTAATTGTATACAATTATGATGCAAAAAAAAAACCATGAAGCATAATTTCTGGAATGCATGATTTCATTTCTTGCACTCACAATCCAAACCAGTTGTACTGTGTGCATTGCCTCCTTTGGATCAGCTCAAAGCAGCGGAGCTTCAGGACGCTGAAGAAACTGTAGCCCACCATGTTGGAGATGGTGTCATTACCGTTGAGAAGGCATTGTTTAAATCTAACAGAGACGAGACAGAGGATGTCAGTGTAGACCTTGATGTGAATTATGTAATTGTATACAATTATGATGCAAGCGGAAAAACCATGAAGCATCATTTCTGGAATGCATGATTTCATTTCTTGCACTCACAATCCAAACCAGTTGTACTGTGTGCATTGCCTCCTTTGGATCAGCTCAAAGCAGCGGAGCTTCAGGACGCTGAAGAAACTGTAGCCCACCATGTTGGAGATGGTGTCATTACCGTTGAGAAGGCATTGTTTAAATCTAACAGAGACGAGACAGAAATAAACATGATTTGCATTATAGTGTCAAAGTCTGTCCCATTTGCATTCGTGCATTCAGAACTTCAAATCTATTACCACAACTAAAACACATGCACGGTTGCAAGTAAAAAAAAAGAATTTGTTAATTTAATTCAACTTTTTTAAATTTGCAAGCATGAGTTCTGTTGACATATTAATGTTGATAGCTTAATATTGTGTGAAGTTGTAATAATGTATTGAAACTGTCTTGATAACTTTGAAATGCCGCAGTGAATTTCTAGTGCATATGTGCTTTACAATGGATAAGGAGAATAAATATTTAAATGAATGTTATTTTATATGTTTTTTTTTCTCAGTAAACGGAAAGACCTGCTAGTGTTTAATGCTGTTATGTTTGGCATTTAAAAGAGTTTCTTTTATGTTTAAGTTTTATTGAGTTTAATGTGCTGTGCTAGTTTTGAACTGAAAATGTATAATTGGAAAATTAATTCAAAACCTTTTTATGATTGAAAAACGTGTTTATGTAGAAATTAAGTGACTTATTATTAACATAATTTCATTATACGTTGTCATAACTCAAAAACATTGATGCAAACTTGCTTTTTTCTTTGTTTGAGCCTAAACATTTGTCTTTAGAGTGTTCCACATCACAAGAAAGGCCTTAAAATCACACTGAAATGTGGGCAAAGATAAATTCTTTACCTCGCACGCAGTAGGCTACAATGTTTTACAGATAAAATGCACGGGATGAATAAACAGAAAAGATGAGTTATGACAAAAGGATGAGTTATGACCCTAAAGAGTCTCCCCTGAGGAGCTAAAAATGCCTCTCATCTGTGGAATGTGAGACGGTGCTCACCTGCGGTCACAGTCACAGTGCGAGAGCGTGAACAGAGTGGGGTTGAACACACCGAAGTTCACAGAGAACGAGCGGATGATGTGCTCACAGTGATCGTGCTCTCGACAGCATCTGTCTGCATGCACAAACATACCTGCAACAACAACTAAATAATTAAATGCAATAATAACAAATATTAAGTAATTACCCGGCTGAAAAATACAATAGAACCATCACAGAAAATTCTAATGGTTTCCACTACAATTCTGCTACAATTCCACTGAATTCAAAGATGCCTTTAACTGAAAATTGAGTGTTTTGTCCTTTTTGACACACTATTTTCCTATTTAGTACTGTAAACACAATCTATATTGGTAAAAGCGCTATAATAAATAAAGGTCACTTGACTACAAATACGTATATTACAAACATTACAAACCATCAACTTTTAACCATTAAAACCATTAAAAATTGTTCCTGTAGTGTGTTTTGGGACATATTCCATTAGGATTTATTGGTTTTAACAAGCCACCAACAGAAGGTGACCAATTACCAGCAGAGACCCATGGGGTCCATTACAGTTTCCATTAAAACCAACACAAGTCCCATTATAACCAGCAAAACCTTTACAAATGTAGTGATGATGTCTATAGTTTTTTTTTCAACAGGGTTCTGTGATAATATACAGTCAACTTGAATAAACAAATCGTTCATGAAATTGCAAGTGCAAAGCGCACAGCGATTTTTTGCACAGAAACGTGTAACTACTTTTATGACACACACTGTAATCATATTGATTTACGTAACTGTAATTTTCAGGTTATGTTGCAGGACCTCCCGCATGTTTTCGTGAACGCCATGCATTCACAGATTTACAGTCGACCTCACCCACCCATGCACGCCCACTTTGGCACAAAAATTGCATTTTGATTGATCGCTCTCAGGAAAATCGTAGCGAATAACGGCAATAAAGACGGATCTTGCTATTAATGAAGCTTGTAATTTCATTTCTGTCTTGTGTCTTCTCGTTTTCCTTGATTTTTATTTTCACGCCGATAACTTTCATATCGGTAAAAACTTTGCAATAGGCTTTATATATTATGTTATAAACGTGTGCATTGTCTTTACTGACCATTCTTACAAATGCTTCATCGTAAATAATTTTAATTCCATCAAAGATTTTGATAACAAATGACTGATGGATGCATGATTCATTTCGTACCAACAAAAATAGTTCACTAAATTGCTTTATAGCCTACATAATATACTAATATTTGAAAAAGCTTACTCTACACCAAATGAACTGACTAATGGCTGCTTACAGATGCATGCACATTGCACACCTACCCAACTGTTCATAGTCATTGGCGCTGGTGCCGCGTCCACACCAAAGCGTTCCCGGCAAAACCCATGCGCGTTTATGGCGACTTTTTGCTCTTGAATCCATCTGCAGGCCAGGATTTACGCGTTCTTTGTGCAAAGTGAAATTGACATGCATGTTCATTTCACACAGGCTGGCATCTTCCAGCAGCGCGCTAAAGTTGAACTGCATTGGTTTCTCATTGTCCCGAGCGCGCTCTTGACGGCAGAGTGACCGATAACGCGTAACCAAAGACCCGTCGCTACTCATGAAACAACCTTCAAGGCGTTTCTCTGATGTCCACTTGCTCCAGTAAAAGAGAGGAGATGCTGTAGTGTCCGGTGAGTGGATGAGAAAGCTAACCTGAGAGCTCCCGCGTTCTGATTTGATGAGGAGGCAAAATGGTGCAGGTTTCTGAATTGTTACCGCATTGCTACAGCATACCACGACTAAAAGATTAACAGCAAGAAGACTTCCCATTCGTGTATCTGGGAGATGCAGTGACATTGCTGCAGAGACGCGTGTTGACGCGTATTTGGAAGCTGAAGAGAGTCCCGCTCTATTCCAAACTCTATAGCCCACTAAACTAAGTTTTCTGGTTTAATTGACGCTGATGCACAACGCGAATAAACCGCATCAGTTTGTTTCAGTCCATGCATGAGAAGGGGTTTGCTCTGTCAAATGAAAATGAACGAGTAGCCTATTGTACCGGTTCTTTACAGTCTGTTCACAGATGTGGAGTGAAATTTGTGTTGGCTACATGTTAAAACTTGTGAATGATGTGGAGCTGAAATGTCAGGAGTCACATGACTCGAAATCAACCAGACTCCATTTACCGAGGCTTTGCAGTCCAATGACCCGATAGAAGTTCATCAAAATACCACAATTTAAAGTTATGTTAAAGCATTGTTTCACTTCTTCGTTACAGCAAGTTTCTAAATAACTTGGCTGTTAGCAGTGTTGGGTAAGTTACTGTAATTAATTGCCAGTTGTTCATTTTCAACAGTGTAATTAGATTACTGTTTTAATTACTCCCTTAAAAGTATTGCATTACTTATTACTAATTACTTTCTAAATGAGCTCATATAAACGTCAACATTAGATGTTCAATGTTGATGTTAAATCCACTAATATATATATATATGTGCACTGTAAAAAAAAAAATCTATAGCTTTTACAAAATAGTTTTGGCAGCTGTGGTTGCCAGAATAATTTTGTAAAAAATACAGTGTATATAGTACGGGAACTTACTGTTAACTTATTAACCGTTTTTTCCCTTAGCATTTTTACACAATTTTACAGTTAAAATTACACTTATTTTTTACACATAAGGGCCAATTTTTCATCTAAAAATCATCTAAAAGCTGAATAAATAAGCTTTACATTGATGTATGGTTTGTTAGGACAGGACAATATTTGGTTGAGATGCGACTATTTGAAAATCTGGAATCTGAGGGTGCAAAAAAATCTAAATATTGAGAAAATCATCTTTAAAGTTGTCCAAATGAAGTTCTTAGCAATGCATATTACTAATCAAAAATTAAGTTTTGATATATTTACAGTAGGAAATTTACAAAATATCTTCATGGAACATGATCTTTACTGATCTATAAGAGAAATCTATAATTTTGACCCATGCAATGTATTGTTGGCTATTGCTACAAATATACCCCAGCGACTCAACACTGCTTTTGTGCTGCAGGGTCACAGATATCTCGGCTGGATCGTGCATGCACTCTTTTACTGGTGTAAACATACTGTAGTAATGAACTGAACTGAATGCTAAAATCTCTTGTATGGTGTTAATGTTCTTCACTGCAGAAAGCATAACAACAGCTCATGCCATGAGAAGCATCCATGCAAAGGACTCAAGAGCAGCTTTTTCCCACTGGTCTTCAAGCTTCTCGAACGATCTGCTTGAAGAGCCTCCCCGTCACTGAGCAAGAAAAGTGACTCATTCTCAGCAGGCTTGCCAGTATTTTCCACTCTTGTCTATTTTAATGTATATATTTATTGCCTGTTCTATGACTGTGCACACTGACACTTTTAATCCATCTTATGCTTTTTTTTATATACTATGAAAACCAACTGTGGTTCTCACAGATTCTTCACTTCAGTGAAGTACTGTAAATATTTTGATCAAGCCAAGACCGGTGACATGATTGTGCATCGAAGCTTCTAGACAATTGTATCTGTTCTCCTAAATGGATGTTCCAACAGATTAAAGAGACTCAAAACCATTTTAAAAGGATATTGAAAAAGACTATATACAATATTTGATGTATTTAACACTTGATACATTAACACAGCCACACATAACATGCTCATATGCAAAAAAATACTTGCAAATGCACATTTTAACCTCTAGTCTCTCTCTCTCTCTCTCTCTCTCTCTCACACACACACACACACAAAACACCTGTGCAGATGTTTTTTTTTTGCTCCAAACTAAAGTGTGGTTTACAGAACTTTTCAGAAGATACCCATTACTGATGTTTTTATGATTTGCTGACGTAGGACTACAAGACCAGTCATCAGTCGCACGGATATATTTTTATTTAGTAATATGCATTGCTAAGATCTTCATTTGGACAACTTTAAAGGCGATTTTCTCAATATTTAGATTTTTTTGCACCCTCAGATTCCAGATTTTCAAATAGTTGTATCTCAGCCAGATATTGTCCGATCCTAACAAACCATACATCAATGGAAAGCTTATTTATTCAGATTTTTAAAAAGAAAAATGTTTTGTGGTCCAGGGTCGCATATGAATTCACATCATTAGTTAATATAATATGTTATTAGAGAATTAACTAATAACAATTTATTGATTAGCCTTCTTAATCTATGAATCATATAGATTGATCATTAGTTGCTAATGCATTAATCATTAATAAACGGTTTAGTTCTTCATGAGTTATTATACATGAACTCGTGATCATCTGTGCATTAGTTAAGCATGAATGAATGCATATTAATGCACCCGTATTGTAAAGTATTACCAATCTCATCACTGTCAGTGTACTGGGGTTTCCACAGCAAGGTAACACGGGCGTGGAATAAGTAAAGAGGGCTACAAGCAAAGCTCAGAGAAGGATTGTGCTCTCCTCATGTGCGCAGTCGCTGATTCCTCTCGCTACTGACCTCACTCCTGTAGTCCGCATTGTTTGCAGAGTGGACGGTTGTTATCAGGTAAGGATATTCGAAATAACATTTTCCTCACTTAGGCTTATTTCAAACATGTTTATTAACACAATGCATGCAAAAAGCATCATTTTCCAATCGACAATTGGTGATGAACCCTGTGGAGAACGCACGCATTCGGGTCTCAAACCTGATGAGTTTTGCCATTTATTTAATACAGAAAACCCTGCATGAAAAAAAAAGAATGGTGTCTTTTGATTTTACATCGGATGAGGTGATGGTCAGCTACAAATGCATTCTGCCCCCAGTCATCCATGCACAGGCTATATGAAATGATATCGACATGATGGCTGAACAATGGTTGCTGTAAAAATATGAATCTATGTGAGCTTTAGGTGAGGAATATCTATCGATGGTCGCATTCGTGTGTGCTGTCTTTTAGAAGATAAGCCTAAGGTGTGTCATCTCAATGCGGGTTTTGCTTCTGCTTTACACTGAGAGAGGAGAGAGGCAAGGTGCGTTCCTCTAATGGTACAAAAGACGAGATCGCGAGCGCCTCGGCTCTTATTGCGCAGCAAGGCATTGATCAAGATCGCTTTGTGCATTTTAGAGCTATTAATACTAGACTACAACAGTGGGAGTGTATGGCCAGGCACATGCTTTCAGGGGTATCCAAGCAAGTGTTTTCTGTAGAGATGCGACCTAGTTCCACTCATCACATATTTAGTCATTCTGCTTGTTTGCGGTGGAGTTTTGGAATGGGTTTCTCTGTATCGATCCGCTTCAGTTTGAGCATGCAGAATGATATTTGATGTATTTTCCTTGCAGAAGGAAATTGATGAAGGCGGGGATTCTTGCAGTCAAATGACTACACACATTTTATTTGTAGCCTACTGCTGAGATTTAATGAGATGACTGCTGTTGATAACAGATGCAAGGCGTCTACAGTAAAAAAACATTTCAGGACAAAAAATCAAAAAATTGTATTATGCGTCACTGTAGAGCAGTGATGTGGAAAGATATTGGGAAAAGGGTATTAGACAGTATGTGTCGCTATAGATTTGTATTTATTGATTGGTTGCATGCAAACTGTGTTCTTATAGAGCAGTACAGTTTTGGCTTTTTGCTGTACTGTGTAATGTAATGGTTCTGTCTCGATTAGTTTTATGGATTTTGGGACCTCTCACCTTGGGACAAAACAAAATGTGCTATTGGATATTAGGCCAACATGTAGGCTAAGTGAAGTATCTGACACATTTACTCCGCTTTCAGAAATCTTTCATTGTGGTGGCAGATATACACTGTAATGCATTTAGTAGGCAAATAAAAAAAAAAGGTTTTCTTTGCAGGAATGGACACTATGCTCTTGAAATGTACCAATGCTGGCAGAGCATGCAAATGCGAATTTGTTTGGACAGTTCGAATTTGTATAAGAACTCATGCAAATATTATAACTTTTTATTTTTTGTCTTGTTTTTGTAGAGTTTAAATGAGATCTCTAGCCATACTAATCCACATATTGTGCTGTACATACAGTCATTTTGCTATGGAGGAAGTGACCTTATTAAGCCCACACATTTTCCATGTGTTCTTCATATCTGAGTATCCCTGTAATAAATCAAAGATTAATTTCTCCATCTACGTTGATTATCGATTAAAGCTTTAGTATTTGTCATTTTTCAGCATCCAATTTGGGTTCAAATGTGACTGGCCACTATTATTTTAATGTCTTAGGTACTGGCTACTTTTCAGCTTTTAGCAGTTTAGAGGTGACAAATGGTTTGTGTAAAGCACATGCATGTAGAATTAAAGACATTGCATGGAATTTCGCATCACCTACATGCATAACTATATATGAACCTTTATTTAGTGCAACAAAATCAATGTAAACAGAAACTGGGACAGAACTATGTGTTAAAATATCAGTGAAAGTCAAGGACAGCAATGTGGACAAAATCAAATATTACAAATAAAATCATTTAATTTAACACCTTAAAAATGAGCAATGACTGCATGGACATATCTTTGAATATAGGTTAATTTAGTTAGAGTGCGTAATTGGCTCGTATTGTGATTGTGTGTGTGTGTGTGCCTTTATGTAGGCAGTGTTTGAATTTGCTGCTTGCAATTCATTTTTAGAACTTAGATAAGCCTAGATAAGCCTTCTGCATAAGAAGTGCTGTTTCTACCGGCCAAATGTGCTTTCAACACAGTAAGCATCTCAAATAGTTCTGCATTTCTGACAGACGTGAGAGTCTGTGGATAATATTACAGTGATAGAAACTCAATATCCACCACTGTACAGTGACATGAATAACTTATGCTAATAAGTATGGTTTACTGTTTATTGTTTGTTTTTGTTGTATTTGTCCTCACCCTTAGTTATTTGTGTATTTGTATATTTATATATGAACTGTTTCAGTGTCAAATGAATTACAGTTCAACATGATTTTAATCTTTTTCGATAATGGCAATATATATGCACTGGTTTCATTCCGATCAGGCAAACAATCTGCAAAAGTAGATTTCACATTATAATTGGCTCGTATTGTGATTTGTGTGTGTGTGCCTTTATGTAGGCAGTGTTTGAATTTGCTGCTTGCAATTCATTTTTAGAACTTAGATAAGCCTAGATAAGCCTTCTGCATAAGAAGTGCCAAATGTGCTTTCAACACAGTAAGCATCTCAAATAGTTCTGCATTTCTGACAGACGTGAGAGTCTGTGGATAATATTACAGTGATAGAAACTCAATATCCACCACTGTACAGTGACATGAATAACTTATGCTAATAAGTATGGTTTACTGTTTATTGTTTGTTTTTGTTGTATTTGTCCTCACCCTTAGTTATTTGTGTATTTGTATATTTATATATGAACTGTTTCAGTGTCAAATGAATTACAGTTCAACATGATTTTAATCTTTTTCGATAATGGCAATATATATGCACTGGTTTCATTCCGATCAGGCAAACAATCTGCAAAAGTAGATTTCACATTGAATTCAAAACAGTTCATTTAGAAGGTGATTTTGTCTAAAATGTTCACTTCTAGCTATAAAGCGTCTGACATTTGCACAAGATATGGCTATAGTATGACCTGATGCCAATCCAAAACAAGTCAAGAGTAATGGTAAGCAAGACCAGCCCAACTAATTATTATAGAAGAGAAAGAAATGTATGAATAAATACAAAAATAAATGAATGGAAAACGTCTAAATAAATGTGGGAATACATATATTTGGGAATAAATAAATATTAAATATTAAATAAAAAATAATGAAATATAAAAAATAAATATTATATCAATGTATAAATAAGAATAATACAAAAATAAATTCAGGACTAAATTTAATGAAAACGTAATTGTATTTGTTTTATCGAGCCACATGTTCCATTATTTATTTATTATAAATTTTTTCTGCACTTTTGGTCCTCCATATAACACTAAACTAATGATTTTATTTATAGTAATTGATATTGATGAAGCAAAGTTGTTTGGGGGGAGTAGGTCTATCATGTTGCATAAATTAGCCTACTTGTGAATTACTTTTCATACAGATTTAAGTTACAACCCCAAATGAATTAGTCTTCATTGTAGTGCCCTCTATTGGTGGTTTGGAGGAGCAAATTTGAAGCCAGTCTAGGCAGTGATAAAATAATACATACGTTTCATAATCTTTTATTAGATTTTTAAGTCTTTTTATTGAATTTGTTATAAAACACACAAGACGACAGCAACCAGCATATACCCTTGCTTCTTGTTCAAATGTTAAGCATGCTACAAAAAATAATTGTTTGATTATATGATTAACGCACAGTATATATATATGTATGTGTGTGTGTGTGTGTGTGTGTGTGTGCATGTTTATGTGGTTTATGAGGACACAAATTTGTATATTAACATGGGTATGACATAGGTATTACAACGAGAAGGTGATTTATGAGGACATTTTCAGTGTCCCCGTAATTCAAAAGGCTTATAAATAATTCAGAATTAGTTTTTTTGTAAATCTAAAAATGCAGAAAGTCTCCTGTGAGGGGTAGGTTTAGGGGTAGGGTTGGTGTAGGACAATAGAATATACGGTCTGTACAGTATAAAAACCATTACGCCTATGGAGAGTCCCCATAAACCATAAAAACAAACCTGTGTGTGTGTGTGTGTGTGTGTGTATTCACTGTTATTCATTCTTGCGTCACAGGTTCCAGTGATTTCACGATGACAGACGCGGTGATGGGCACGAAAGGTGTCCATGTGCAGTCTGGACCGTGTCTCGGTGCAGAGCTGACTGATGAAGAGAAGGAGATCATCAACAGCGTAATCGTCCGCGCCGAAAAAATGGAGGCAATGGAGCAAGAGAGGATTGGGTAGGAGAGAGATTATGGATGTTTATTGATTGTCATCGCCAACTTGTACAGTACAATACAATACAATACAATGTTTATTTAAATAGCACATTTGTGACCCTGGAGCACAAAACCAGTCATAATCTGAATAAATAAGCTTTCCATTGATGTATGGTTTGTTAGGACAGGACAATATTTGGCCGAGATACAACTATTTGAAAATCTGGAATCTGAGGGTGCAAAAAAATCTAAATATTGAGAAAATCATCTTTAAAGTTGTTCAAATGAAGTTCTTAGCAATGCATATTACTAATCAAACATTAAGTTTTAATATATTTACGGTAGGAAATTTACTAAATATCTTCATGGAACATGATCTTTACTGAATATCCAAATGATTTTTGGCATAAAAGAAAAAAATATACCACAATATTTATTTATTAAAGGTTACATTATTTTGAATATTTTGAAAGAAGATTATGCACAGAAGCATAAGCAACAGCAAGGACATGCCGATTATTTTGCTTATATTTACTATAGTGCCAATATAAGAGTAAGGCACTGTATATGTTAACATAATGACCAATATGCACTCTCTGTTTTATTGATGATAGACGTCTGGTGAATCGTCTGGACAACATGAAAAAAGCTGTTTGTGGGGACGGAGTGTCACGCTGCCTTTTATGTGGAGAGCAGCTGGGTGCCGGAGGTGATAGATCAGTGGTTTGTGAGGACTGTAAAAAGGTGAGAAACTACCGTATTGGCCCGAATATAAGACGATGGTTTTTTCTTGGAAATACATCTGAGAAAACGCGGTTGTCTTATATTCAGGGTCTAGACTTTGACATGTCAATAATACACCCACAACAATAGGTGGCGCCAAATACACATACAACGAGTGTACCGTGAAATACAGTAATGTAATGCGTGTTGTAAAGATCGCGAGTAAAAACAAAAGAGAAAGAAAAGCTTACAGTTGCATGAGTCGTGACTGTCACGTTAGCCTGCTGGGACCAAACTCTTTGTGATTTTAAAACTTAAGACAGTACCCAGATTTGAAGACTACAGTAAGATTTAACTTCTACTGTTAATAAGATTTTGGTAGGCTACTATTAGATGGATAGCCTAAATGTCCTAATTCAGATGGGCTACCTGTTTTTTTTATTTTTATGGTATATCAAAAAGTGTATATTTTTTAAAATGTGATTGTTGGTGCATTTTACCAGTTTTTACCATACTTTCAAAACAAAAATTAAAATAGGAAAAATATGCAATATGAAAATAATTGAAGACAAAGTGTGTTTTACTGAGAAAAAACAAGATTTGGTTTTTAAAAAGCATTTTTCCAAAAGGTACATCTGGAAAAAGGGGGGTCGTCTTATATTCGGGCCAATAAGGTAATTCAAATAAAATGAACCAAAATAATATTATCTAAATGGAAGCTCATGTTTAGATCATTTGAATTCTTATGGGAGTGCTATACATTTGGTACATGCAATAAAATAAATAACACAACAAAAGGGACGCTAATGGAATTAGATTCTGAAACGTTAAAGGCACAATATGTAAGATTTTCGTAATAGAATATCCAAAAACGACTTGCACAGCGTGATATATTTCATGCAGTTGTGTACTTACATTATCCCAAAAGTTCCCAAGGATTTGTATATCCAGAGAAATTCCTATTTGAAATAAAAGCTCGTCTATCAATGACGTAACATCCGCACTATCCTCAGTTTCCGCTTGTAGAAACTATGGCAGCACACGACACAAATGCCGAGTTAAACTAAATCCATTACGGCTGTCGCGAATAAAATGAAAAGTGTTGACCGCAGCATTAAATTTAGATCCGCTCAATGTTGCGCCATGATGTTTTACGTGTTTTTACAGCGTTGCGCATTATAACCAATCACACACGAGTCCGTTGAGCTTATGAATGCAATGGCCAATCAGAGGCGTTCAGATAAAATGAACCAAAATAATATTATCTAAATGGAACCTCATGTTTAGATCATTTGAATTCTTATGGGAGTGCTATACATTTGGTACATGCAATAAAATAAATAACACAACAAAAGGGACGCTAATGGAATTAGATTCTGAAACGTTAAAGGCACAATATGTAAGATTTTCGTAATAAAATATCCAAAAATAAGAAACAAGATGATTTTACATTTAAACCATTGCTTCCAGGTAAAATACAAGTCCATAATCCATAATAACGCTTTCTCCAGTGAAAAAGTCCATCCTCTGCTGTCCTCTCACATCAAAATCCACACACATATTAGTTTAGAGCTGTTTTGGCTTGTTAACGGTGCTTGATCTGTGCAGATTTCACTCCTGATTCAAACCAGACCACTTTATCACTGAAGGAAGTAATATTATGAATGAATAACTCATTCTAATATATTTCTAAGAATAACTAAGCAATGGTTTGAAGTTAAAATAATAATGAAAAAAGCTAAATTTCCATTTTTGGGTGAACTATTCATCTATTTGTCACAATAAACTGGGAAAGTAATGCCACCAATATTATATAAAAAAATATCCCTTTAATTTATAAAAATAAAAAAATTCTTTACAGATGTAATATATGATGAAGGGATTATATACAATGTTGTTATTCTGAATATTAGCACAATTGCAAATGATTTTATACAACAGATTCATATAAAAGGAGTATATGACACTGAAGACTGGAGGAATGATGCTGAAAATTCAGCTTTGATCACAGGAATAAAATACAGTTGACTATATATTCACATAGAAAACAGTTATTTTAAATTGTAATAATATTCTCTTCTGCATCTGAACGAACAAATACACCTCGCCAGATTAAACATTCAAACACAAAAAGAAGTGAAAGAGCTTAATTCAGCACTATGTCTCACAGCCCTTGAACACCGAATTGAGTTTTGCCTCTTCTTGCTCTTGAACCGACAAATACGTTATGTCGAAACACCCATCTTGGTGAGTATCCTCGAAATACTGTCGGTTATGTCTTAAGGGAACGTGAACAGTGGAGAAAGAAATCGGATGTGTATCATTATATTGGATGCATTGTAGGCCTGGGCGATAAAACGGTATCGATATTTATCGACGGTACACCTTCTTCGATAACGATATAAAAAATGTCCGATATAGTGCACGATATAGGCACGTGCTATGAGTGACGCCGACAGCACACACGAACACGAACACATGCTGAGTGCTGTGCCTGCCTGTGATGAGGAGATTGTGAATAAAGAATGAATATTAGTAGAATTTAAAATTTGCATCAGGGAGCGTCATCAGTGGCGCGCGAGATGCGGTGATGTAAGTGACGTTGTTGCATTTTAATGTTTTGTTAGTCTAGCCCACGAGATGCGCCGCTGCTGCGTTATTCATTCAAAATATTAGAGAAATATAGAAGCTCAATGCGGAGAAGATCTTGATTAGGTTAAAACCGAAACCAAGCCATTCACACTGATGCATATTCAGCGCACTTTTTAGTCGGACAAATATGACTGCTGCACTCGCGTCTCACCATGCAAAGTTAAAACAGTTTAAACTTTTAGAAAACACGTCGTGAATTTGTGGAGGTTTATTCCTTTTCACTGCGTCTCTTATGTTTTTAAAGGCAATCTGTGTGATGGGCGCTTCGGCTCTTTGTATTAAGCAGTGCATAAATACATGATGCTGTTTTGTTCATAATTGTTTATGCAATTTACTAAATTATATTTGATTTTTATGAGTTAATTTAGACGTAATGCACGGGTTTTTTTTAGAGTTACTTCCTTGCATTGACAATTTAAATGCGCTGCATTATTTTGTTCATTGCGCCCTCCTGTGGCCTCGGGAGACAAGACAAAAGTTTCCTCAAGACCTATTTAATCTGCATATAAAACATTAGAAATTTGATATTTGTTTAATTTTTATTTTGTGTTTGATTGTTAAAACAAAAAATATTTGTTGTTTGTCTCAATAAATTGGGTTAATTTAAAAATACAGTGGTTAAATGTAAAAAAAAAAATTCTATTGCTCTTTGTTTTAAAAAAATGAATAAAAAATGTCAATAATTATCGATACCGAACGATATGAAACATTATATTGTTGATACATTTTTTTGCTATATCGCCCAGCCCTAATGCATTGTCTCTTAAAGTGACCGCTCCTAATTGACCAGCTGCTGTCGGGGTCCTTAATGTTAATCTAAAAAATTAAAAGAGAGAAAATCACTCGCTGCTCTTTACTGAATTACTTTGTAGTTTTAACAAGAATTAATCTATATTTAATTTATACAGTGACTATGCAATGACATGTTACATTTGATTACCAAATGTCATCTACAAACTTGAAAAAACTTAAACATTGCTTAATTTGTACCTTGTTCTATTTATTTATTTGTGCTATTTACACGATTTCAAACAGGGCCCACGCGTACAACCGGGGCCCCGCAAACTCCAGCTACGGCCCTTATTGCCCAAAAACCACCTGTGGCTCCGAAACCTACTCACCTTCAAACTCACAGTTACTCAGAGGCGGATGGAGATGCGGGAAGCTCCCAGAATACCCCAGTGCTGATGAAGAAGACGGTGAACGTCCACGCGGCCAGACCAGTCCCATCAGGCACATTCCAGCCGGGTAACAACAAACATGCACACAGACAACAAACATTCTTTATAGTATTGCATAAAAATATGCCTCAAGCATGCATGCATTTTGTCTATTACAAGTGCACACAATACAATTTAGGAGTATTTGCTTTTGAGATAAGATGTTTGCAATTGTTTGCTTTTGAGATATATTTGTGATATTTTGAATTCAGTGCTTCATTTTGCAAGAGATGTGAGGCATTTTGCATTTTGTGTGTGCAATTCTTGGATTTGTGTGTAAAGTTTTGAAAATGTGTGTAAGCAGTTGAAAAACACTGTAATATAGTAGAAACTGAAGAGTTTTTTTGTCCCTACCAGCTGCTCAGGAGGCAGAGAGAGGATCCTATCAGTCCATTAGCACTGCGTCTCATGTGCAGGAGAGAGCCCATCCCGCAGAGAGAGCGGAGATGAAGCCTGCTCCGCCAGCGGACGACGACCTACAAGTGCACACAATACAATTTAGGAGTATTTGCTTTTGAGATAAGGTGTTTGCAATTGTTTGCTTTTGAGATATGTTTGTGATATTTTGAATTCAGTGCTTCATTTTGCAAGAGATGTGAGGCATTTTGCATTTTGTGTGTGCAATTCTTGGATTTGTGTGTAAAGTTTTGAAAATGTGTGTAAGCAGTTGAAAAACACTGTAATATAGTAGAAACTGAAGAGTTTTTTTGTCCCTACCAGCTGCTCAGGAGGCAGAGAGAGGATCCTATCAGTCCATTAGCACTGCGTCTCATGTGCAGGAGAGAGCCCATCCCGCAGAGAGAGCGGAGATGAAGCCTGCTCCGCCAGCGGACGACGACGACGAGGCCAACAGCTATGACTCCGATGAAGCCAGTAAGCAGCTCCTCAGTGACTTCTTCTTCTTCTTCTTTGACCGTGACTAGAAGAAGCATGTCTTAAAAAGTATCTTCATAATCATTGTGAGACTTGCTGTCAATTTTCTCATTGTTGGTGGAAAGAAGAGACCTTTGTGGGATTTTGCTATAGAAAGTTGTAAACTACAAGTACTGTAATCAGTGCTATAGTTCACCTGTAGGTTTTATTCTATATTCACATTAATTACTAAGCAGAGTTTAGAGTTGCAGAATGTGTTGATCTAAGATCTAACTTAAATTTTTTTATGTTGCTTGCATAAAATGTTGTGCAAGAGAAAACGTCACATTACTTTTTTTACACTTATATTTAGGTTTTTATTTATTTATTTTGCAGTTCTTTGAATATTTATGGATTTAAAATTTCTTTTACATTTCTATGTATAGCTAAGTATATATTTATTTATTTTTGTTTTGTTTTAAAAAAATTTGTATTTATTAATTTTTTTTACATTTCTTTGTATATTTATGTATTTATTTATGCATACATTTTTTTAAATTCTTTATATATGTACTTATGTATGTAGTTTTGCTTTGTTTACATTTCTTTGTATATTTATGTATTTATTTATGCATACATTTTTTTAAATTCTTTATATATGTACTTATGTATGTAGTTTTGCTTTGTTTACATTTCTTTGTATATTTAATTATTGTTTTTAGATTTCTTTGCATATTTTATATTTATTTGTTAATTAAATTTATATTTAATTATGTATCTATTTATTTATTTAAATGTTTTTATTCAAATTTTTGCAGATGTGGCTTTCCTTCGCCTAATCAACTATATTCCCTGTTTACAAAATATTTGAAATATATTTACAATTTGAAACATATTTAATTTGAAACATATTTTGGCATGGTTAAAAGGATTTTCTACGGTGGACCAGTAGTGCACAACGAAATTAAAAAATAAAACATAAGCTCACAATACAATGAAATTAAGCCACAACACAACGGAAATGCTCCCGACCACTAGGTGGCAGTTGTTCTGCAGAAACGGGCAATTGTGCGCAAGAGCAGAACTGTCTAAATCGAAAATATTATAGATTTTTCTGCTCGATACATGAATCGATACATTAAGATTACCAGGATATCAAAACATTCAGTAAAAACAAGTTGTTAATGTTTTTATTCAAATTTTTGCAGATGTGGCTTTCCTTTTTTGACGGGCAATTGTGCGCAAGAGCAGAACTGTCTAAATCGAAAATAATATAGATTTTTCTGCTCGATACATGAATCGATACATTAAGATTACCAGGATATCAAAACATTCAGTAAAAACAAGTTGTTCATTTAAAAATCGATTACACATATTAACATGGGCGTCGGAAGCAAAATAAATGTCCTCCCCCAGAAACAATTTACTGGAGTATATGCCATTTTCTGTAGTGTGGTGCCTTATAATTAATAGTGTCTATTTACACAAAGTGCAAATAGGCCGCCTGGTTGGCTGCGGCTATTTACTTCACCTCCGCCCACTAACGTGACAACATTACAAAAGACGGCTGCTTAACAATATTTCCAGTGGCGTAAGTCGTAACGCGGCTTGCGTAGTGTTTTTGATGCGAGTGGCCCGAGTTCGAGTCCGTCTTTTGCCGAAATCGTTCTTCTCCCTTTTCACATCTTTTGTTTTCAATAAAAATAAAAATCAAGGAAATAATCTAAAAGTTGAAATAAAGTATCAGGTAGGGTTAGGTGTATCTGAGCAGCAGATGCTGATGCTTTGTTTACTTTGCTGTGTCTCGGGAGTGCAGTTTTTTTCATTTCATTGTGTTGCACTACTGGGCCACCGTAATTTTCACCATGCATGGTGTTAGTTTTAGATTTGGCAAAACAACTTGTTTTAACACCATTAGATGTCGCTGTTGCATAACATTTTAAATACTCGATAACGCGTGCATTTGTGGTGTGTGTGTATGTTTGAGAGAGTGTTTCAATTAAATGAAGTGCAACAGAGAGGAGCAACATAATTATTTATAGCACACACGGAAATGTAGAGCTGTGAGATTAGATTCTGCTTCTCATGCATTCAAACTTAATGAAATGCTTGAGCCTAATGCAATATATTGCTTTTGTTTCAGCAACTCTGGGATCACTGGAGTTCACTTTACTGTATGACCAAGGGAACAACAGCCTTCACTGCAGCATTATTAGAGCGAAGGTATCTTCAATGTTTTCATATATTAATATTAAAAGTCTCGCACACAGACAAAAATGAATATATTGTCTTTGTGGGCTAATTATGTTGTAATATTACTGAGATATGTATTTATTATCATGCAACAGTTTGTTCGGATCCTTGAATATTTTAATTTGGATGAGTTGGATATTTAGTCCCTTACTTTCACAGTTTTTTCACAGTTATGAACGCTCTTCATAGGACATAATGACAAAAATCTAAGTCAGTTTGAAGATTTAGAAATGTTATATGTGACCCTGGAGCACAAAAGCAGTGTTAAGTCGCTGGGGGATATTTGTAGCAACAGCCAACAATACATTGTATGGGTCAAAATTATAGATTTTTCTTTTATGCCAAAAATCATTAGGATATTAAGTAAAGATCATGTTCCATGAAGATATTTTGTAAATTTCCTACCGTAAATATATCAAAACTTAATTTTTGATTAGTAATATGCATTGCTAAGAACTTCATTTGGACAACTTTAAAGATGATTTTCTCAATATTTAGATTTTTTTGCACCCTCAGAATCCAGATTTTCAAATAGTTGTATCTCGATAAAATATTGTCCGATCCTAACAAACCATACATCGCTTATTTAATCAGCTTTCAGATCATGTATGAATCTCAATTTCGGGAAATTGACCCTTATGACTGGTTTTGTGGTCCAGGGTCACATCCAGATTTTCAAATAGTTGTATCTCGATAAAATATTGTCCTATCCTAACAAACCTTACATCGCTTATTTAATCAGCTTTCAGATCATGTATGAATCTCAATTTCGGGAAATTGACCCTTATGACTGGTTTTGTGCTCCAGGGTCACATACTGTATGTGTAATATTGCACTGTGCTTGATTTCTGTGTTGTGACATAATTTTAAGTTATTGTAATATTTTCTCGTAGGGTTTGAAACCGATGGATTCGAACGGACTGGCAGATCCTTATGTCAAGCTTCATCTGTTACCGGGTGCGAGCAAGGTGAGATCATGGGCTGTTTAGTGCACTGCTTGTACCTCAAATATGAATAACTCTGAATAATGCCTGTAATGTTTACTATAGCAATAGTTCAACACTTTTGTAATGGACCCTTTTGACAGACCGTGATGACGCAATTCCACAGTTATTAACATTGTAAATCTGGAATGTTTTTAAATTATTTAATGCACACTATATTTTATTACCTTGATATTAATTTACAGAAAAATGGTCAACTCTGTTGCTGAGGGAGTGACAGCAAATTTAACATCTTTCTCTAGTCTGGCCAACGTATTCAATCTCTCAATATTTTTGGATTTTGAAAAAAAATTAGCTATTGGGGCAAATATGAATGCAAAAATGTTATATTTGTTGTAGTTTCCATTCACCAATATATAAGTTTACGCAACTATGATGACGTGAAAAGGTGAAATTTTTTTTTTTGGTCATTTACAGAGTTACAGACATTTTTCTGGTATTCATTATTAAAATTATAATGAAAACATTATAATACTATAGAGGCCAGTCTCATAAAGTAGGTTTAAGTGGCTTCTCGGTTAACTTTGAGTGTAGTTTGACCATTAGTTTTTCAGTCTCACGAAGGTAGAACACGTTTACAGTGTTCATCATCATAGTAACGAATGTACTAGACATGGCAAGTTTTGTTCTGGGTAAGAGATTATAAACCAAAACTGGACCAATCCAACCAATCATGTCTCTGATGCAAGAAAGCCACGGCCCCTGTATCTCTTTCATCACAAAAAGCATATTCACAAAATTGGTCATGATTATTTGCTATATTTTATATAATAATTATATGTATTCTATTCTGAAATTTAAGCTGCATAAAAAAAATCTGTATTGTTGCTGGTCTCTTATTGCATATATTATTTATTGAGAACAAGGGCATATGAACAATCTAGTAAAGTCTAGTGATCAAGATCCACAAACCTGTAATGCATTACCCTTCAGCAATTATATTTGGACAACTAATTGTAAACTTTATAGGATTTTGCATTGTATTATTGTATGATATACAGTGCCTGATATAAACTCACAGTTGTGTGTTACAAAGTCAGAATTGAGAGCTATAAACTTTTAATTACAAGAAAATATCAGAATTATGAGATGACTTTTCCCCCTCAGAATTGGACCTAATTGCAATTTAATATCTCACTTTTCTCAATTCTGAGAAAATAAGTCAGAATTATGGAATATAAACACAAATTGCAAGAAAAAAAGAGATAAAAGTTATTTTTTATCCCGTGGTGGAAACAGACTTATATAGTTTTAAGACTAAAGTGATCTGAATCGGTTTGGCTCCGCTAGCTTCACGAGACGGGCCTCAATTATGCAAAAGCTTCTTTTATTCTGCTCAAGCAATGACGGTTAAACAAAGCATCTTTGCTGTCAATGCAGTCAACTAAATTACGCACCAAGACCCTACGCAACACTCGCAACCCGACCTGGAATGAGACGCTGGTGTACCACGGGCTGACAGACGACGACATGCAGCGCAAGACCCTCAGGTTTTTTTTATTTTTACAAAATATCTTCATGGATCATGATCTTTACTTAATATCCTAATGATTTTGGGCATAAAAGAAAAATCAATAATTTTGACCCATACAATGTATTTTTGACTATTGCTACAAAAATACCTGTGCTACTTAAAGGGATAGTTCAGAGTCCAAAATTTGATGTTTATCTGCTTCTGAACTGTCCCCAGGGCATCCAAGATGTAGGTGACTTTGTTTCTTCAGTAGAACACAAACTGAGATTTTTAACTCAAACCGTTGCAGTCTGTCAGTCGTATAATGGAAGTGGATGGGAATCACGGCTTTGAGAGTCAAAAAAACATACACAAACAAAACCAAATTAAACCCTGCGGCTCGTGACGATACATTGATGTGTAAAGACACGAAACGATCAGTCTGTGCAAGAAACTGAACAGTATTTATATCGTTTTTTACCTCTGATGCACTGCAATGTCTGAACTGTCCTGAGCGCGTCCTCGACAGCCGGTGCGTGACGTGTCTTCTTCTTCTTCTTGCTTTACGGCAGATCGCTGACTTATAAGTGCATTACCGCCACCTATCTCGCAAATGGACCATTGACACTCTATCTACAATCTCAATTAGGAGTGTCAATTATCCATTTGAGAGATAGGTGGCGGTAATGCACTTATAGGTCTGCGATCCGCCATAAAGCAAGAAGAAGAAGAAGACGCGTTACGCACTCAGGACGCGCTCAGGAAAGTTCAGACATTGCGGTGGATCAGAGGTAAAAAAACTATATAAATACTGTTCAGTTTCTTGCACAGACCGATCGTTTCGTGTCTTTACACATCAATGTATCGTCACGAGCCGCAGGGTTTAATTTGATTTTGTTTGTGTATGTTTTTTTGACTCTCAAATCCGTGATTCCCATTCACTTCCATTATACGACTGACAGACTGCAACAGTTTGAGTTAAAAATCTCAGTTTGTGTTCTACTGAAGAAACAAAGTCACCTACATCTTGGATGCCCTGGGGACAGTTAAGAAGCAGATAAACATCACATTTTCATTTTTGGCTGAACTATCCCTTTAAGACTGGTTCTGTGCTCCAGGGTCATATTTTAGTATTCACTTACACTTGTGTTATCTCAGTTAGTTTCCAAGGCAACACATCTAATTGTGTCCAATATTGTAATAATATATTTTATTTGAGCATTATTTCACTTCCAATTAATTAGCTAATCATAGACTAAAGAAAGTATTCGAGCGATATGTTCTACATATTGTACATTCAGTGTTCATGGATTTAAGGGGTTTTGTTTGTGCAGAATATCTGTCTGTGATGAAGACAAGTTTGGTCACAATGAGTTCATCGGAGAAACCAGATTTGCGCTGAAAAAACTCAAGTTCAATCAGAAGAAAAACTTGAACGTGTGTCTAGAGAGGGTTGTGCAGGTCAGTGTTTTATACACATATCACATATTAACAAACATTGCTGAATTCACAAAATTATATACGTCTTTCAAATATGAAAGGAAAAAACTGCCTCTCTCTTTCCCTTTAGACAAAAAGGACATCGACTGCAGGCGGTGCACGAGGAATCACTCTCTATGAGGATGAGGTGAATGCTTAAACTCATATTCATAAGGGTATACCAGATTATTGACATCACCTAACAATATATTTGCATTAAGATTAAAATTAAGGTAACATTCGGCCTTACAGATTGGCACCTGTTTGCCATGGATGCATTATAATTAGCATTAATCTTTGTTCTATGTAACTACTAAAGTACTTAAGCACTTTTTTAAAAGTATGCCAACTACAGAAATAGTATGCTTAAGTTTGAGCTGAAAGTAATGTTTTTTTTGCAATTAATGTATTATAGTTTAAATTTATATTAAATGCACCTAGCCGAACTTTAGTGTGATTTCTTGAGCCACTTAAGTACATTTTATATGTAATTTCATAATTACTTCTATTGTCCTTGAAATATGGTTGAAGTACTGCTGAACGTACTGACAAGCATTTATGGTAAACTAAAATATACTTTAATGTTATTTATATTAAAACTTGTCATGTATTTAAATACATTTGTTGTAATTGAGTACATTTAAAATATATTAACTTTAAATGTAATATCGAAAAACGCACTACAGTTAAAATTAAAAGTACTTTACATGTGCTTTTAGTATGTTAGTCTACATATCAAAATAAGTGTACTTCTTTAAGCACGACAAAAGATCATTAAAACATTTAAAATGCACTTTAAAACCTTTAATTTGATGTTATTATAAAGTGCACTTTTTAAAAGTTAAAAAAAAATAGTTTTCACAATTAAGTGCACTTCTTTTTCACAAGGGTATCATTAACAGAGGTTTACAGATTAAGACTTTTCACGCTCATTTCACGTCATGTAGTGATTCCATTATTTTGTGCATCCTATGTATTTTGGTCATCACTGTTATGTGTATCAGCTGCAAATACTAATAAGTACTTCTACATTAAGTAAGTTTGCAACAAACGCTCTTGTTCTATCATTATCATCCACACTGCTTTGTTTGTTTGTGTGTGAATAGACTGGGAAGGATGGAGCTGAGCTGGAAGAGAGAGGACGAATCCTGATATCCCTCATGTACAGCAGTCAGCTGAGTCGTCTCATTGTAGGCGTTATACGCTGTGTTCACTTAGCAGCAATGGATGCGAATGGGTATTCTGATCCTTTTGTTAAAATGTGAGTTGTCAACATTTATATACATCACATTTATTATATGTTTAGGAAACAGTTATATAATTTAAAGAAATAGCTCACACAAAAACTAAAATTAGCTGGGAATGTCCTCACCCTCAGGCCATCCCAGATGTAGATGAGTTTGTTTCTTCACCAGATTTGGAGAAATGTAGCACTGCATCAGTGTCTCAGCAATGGATGCTCTGCAGTGAATGGGTGCCGTCAGAACGAGAGTCCAAACAGCTGATAAAAACATCACAAGTAATCCACACCACTCCAGTGCTAATTTTGACAGCACATTTTGATTTAGTTTTAGCCATAGACTTTTGACTAAAATGCAATTTAGTCATATTTTAGTCATCTGAATTGTTTTTAGTTTTAGTCTAGTTTCAGTCGACTAAATATCGTAAGATTTTAGTTGACTAAATCTACAGTAAATTTAGTCGGCTAAAATCTAATGGGTTTAGTTACAGTGCATTTATTATGCATTTCTCTAAAATTTCCAAACTCATTATATAGGTTTGATATTAAGGTTTTATCATGATAGACACCGATTTAACTGCGGTGACACACTACATGCCTTTATGTTAAAATGAAATAAAACCACTTCTCATAAAGAACAAGAACATGGTCTTCTTTTTAATGAAATACCATTATATAAGGTAATTATGCATTCTTTAAAGCAACTTGTTTACCCTATTCTTCATTCCTTCAAGCAGACATATTTATTTTTCTATAAATAAATTTAGATTAATCTTTAAGGCTACTAAAGTTTTTCAGCCAAGAGCAGTGAGTGATTTTCTGTCTTTCTGTTGTTGCTTGATTAACATCAATGACTCGGACAATAGCAACTAAATTAGGCTGCTGTCCCTTTAAAACCGAATGCACAGCTGCAATGGATGCAATGTACTGAGACACGTTCTCCCTACTGTTTACGTTCACCTAAGACATAATCAACTGTGTTTACGTGAATACTCCTCAAAACTGATAATTCGACATCATTTTGTGTGTAATTCTCCGTTCATGCGACGCTGTGAGAGGCGCTTTCTGTGTGTGCGTGCTTCAGTGTCTGCGCTCAGAAAACCGGACCGAATTGAGTTCTCTCTTGCGTCGTCAGATTTATCCATATGTCTGCTCTTCTCTTACTCCCACATATTGACATTTTTGAAAGTTTTATGCGACGTGCAGCAAGCGTATGTTAGCTAATGTCTCGCCGGTTCATATGTACGCATCAAACCTCCGAACCGCGCAGCAGATTAGTTTTGAATGAATCTCTTTCCAAATCGTCCCTCCCTAACATTTTCGTCTCGACAAAAATTATTCGTCAACGAAATTAACACTGCACCACTCCAGTTCATCAGTTAACATCTTATGAAGCGAAAATCTGCCTGTTTGTAAGAAAAAAATCCATCATTAAGGCAATTTTAACTTCAAACTGGCTAAAATACGAAAAATTTGAAACATACTTGCAAACATCTTGGATGGCCTGACGGCGAACAAATTTTCTGCAAATTTTTTGTAAACTATTCTTTTAAGTCAACAACTCTATAAGTTATAAAAAAAATAAAAATAGTGCTGTCAAACGATTGATCGAGATTAATTGCATCCAAAATAAAAGTTTTTGTTTACATAATATATGCGTGTACTGTGTATATTTATTATGTATATATAAATACACACACGTACAGTATATATTTAAGAAAATATGTTATATTTGTATTTTAAATGTATTTTTATATAAATATATTCTTGTACGTACATGCAAATATGTTCAAAATATATACTGTACGTGTGTGTATTTATATATACATAATAAATATACACAGAACACACACATATATAATGTAAACAAAACCTTTTGTTTTGGATGCGATTAATCGCGATTAATCGTTTGACAGCACTAAAAAAATATTAAATATTATATAATTCTTAATGAGTATGTAATATGATTTTTTATTTCTATACTTCTGTAAAAATGCTTGAAAATGTGATGGTATATTTCTATGAATGGATATAGATGTCTGAAACCTGATATGGGGAAGAAAGCAAAGAACAAGACGCAGACCAAGAAGAAAACACTCAACCCTGAGTTTAATGAGGTAAGTTGTCCACCTGTAATGATGACACATATATGTTTATGAATTAAATTACGTATTTGTTTATTTGTAGGTGTGTACAAATAAACAATGATCCTAAAAAATATTGAGACAGATACAAATAGCTTGACTGACCAACAGTGTCACAAGGTTATTCATACACAAACTACTAAATATTTAAGTTCACGAGCAGGAGCTCAAAACCATGAACAGCAATGCAGCAAATAGCCAATAATATTAATAAGAGCAAAAAGTCATCAAACGTGAATGTATTTTGAATGCATTTTGACAGGAAAATAAGTCAAATTTCAGCACTTTCAAAATATTTGAGTCTACTGACAGCACTAGCAAATATATTAATGTTTAATAATCTGGTCCAACATTGTAGGAATGTGAAGCCTTGTTATTTTTTTTTGCTGCTTGGATTTTATTATCATGTTTCTTAGATTTTCCCTGTTTTGCCATGTGAACTGTTGTTTTGCAGGAATTCAGCTATGAAATTAAGCATGCAGAGCTGGCCAAAAAGACCCTTGACATCTCAGTATGGGACTATGACATTGGCAAATGCAATGACTATATAGGTATTTACGTTTATTGTAGCAACAATATTATTTATCAAACATATTTAACAATGTAATTTAAACCCCAAAAAATGCAGATCCTTTTGTAAATAACAGTGTAAAAAAGAAAATCACTTTTAAAACTCGTTCCATTATTACCCCCATAGCAGATTTTGCCTCATTTAGCAATGTCCACTTGTTATCCTTAAAGGGATAGTTCACCCAAAAATGAAAATGTGATGTTTATCTGCTTCTGAACTGTCCCCAGGGCATCCAAGATGTAGGTGACTTTGTTTCTTCAGTAGAACACAAACTGAGATTTTTAACTCAAACCGTTGCAGTCTGTCAGTCATATAATGGAAGTGAATGGAAATCACGGCTTTGAGAGCCAAAAAAACATACACAAACAAAACCAAATTAAACCCTCCGGCTCGTGACGATACATTGATGTGTAAAGACACAAAACGATCGGTCTGTGCAAGAAACTGAACAGTATTTATATCGTTTTTTACCTCTGATTTTCACCGCAATGTCTGAACTGTCCTGAGCACGTTCGCGTCTTCTTCTTCAGCCGGTGCGTGACGCGTCTTCTTTTTGCTTTACGGTGGATCTCAGACTTATAAGTGCATTACCGCCACCTATCTCTCAAATGGACCATTGACACTCTATCTACAATCTCAATTAGGAGTGTCAATGGTCCATTTGAGAGATAGGTGGCGGTAATGCACTTATAAGTCTGAGATCCACCGTAAAGCAAGAAGAAGAAGAAGACGCGTAACGCGCTCAGGACGCGCTCAGGAAAGTTCAGACAGTTCAGACATTGCAGTGCATCAGAGGTATAAAACGATATAAATACTGTTCAGTTTCTTGCACAGACCGATCGTTTCGTGTCTTTACACATCAATGTATCGTCACGAGCCGGAGGGTTTAATTTGGTTTTGTTTGTGTATGTTTTTTTGGCTCTCAAAGCCGTGATTCCCATTCACTTCCATTATATGACTGACAGACTGCAACGGTTTGAGTTAAAAATCTCAGTTTGTGTTCTACTGAAGAAACAAAGTCACCTACATCTTGGATGCCCTGGGGACAGTTCAGAAGCAGATAAACGTCACATTTTCATTTTTGGGTGAACTATCCCTTTAAAAGATGTTGATACTAGGTGTAAACATGGTCTAGATTTGTTCGATCTGACCATAGTGCCATAATTTCATCACTGACTTTCATTTCATATTCAGAATATAATTGAATGTCATATTTGTAAATGTTTTAGTAAATTGTGACCATGGACCACAAAACCAGTCATAAGTGTAAATTTTTTGAAAGTGAGATTTATGCATCATATATATAATAAACAAATAAATGGAAAGAATAAATAAGCTTTCCATTGATGTATGGTTTGTTAGGACAGGACAATATTTGGCTGAGATACAACTATTTGAAAATCTGGAATCTGAGGGTGCAAAAAAATCTAAATATTGAGAAATCATCTTTAAAGTTGTCTAAATGAAGTCCTTAGCAATGCATATTACTAATCAAACATTAAGTTTTGATATATTTACAGTAGTACAGTACATTCTTGGCATAAAAGAAAAATGTATAATTTTGACCCATACAATGTCTTGTTGGCTATTGCTACAAATATACCCCAGCGACTTAACACTGCTTTTGTGCTGCAGGGTCTCAATTATTAAATGTGTATTGTTATTACACATTGAATGTTTTAATACAACTAATATTTCACGATCAGGAGGCTGTCGGCTGGGTATCACTGCCAAAGGTGAGTGTTTGAAGCACTGGTACGAATGCCTCAAGAACAAAGACAAGAAGATCGAGCGCTGGCATACTCTGCTCAACGAGAATCACGTCTCCAGCGACTAGGCTCTTCAAGCGTTCTGCATGCCTTTAAGTTGTACTCGGCCCATTTTGCAACTCCATTCCCCTCCACTATCTGCACATCTTGGGCTATACCGACCTTGCTCTTGTCTGGCTGACACATGAAATGCTTTCAAGAAACAAAATGTGATGTCTCGAGCTCTTCTGTTCACTGTGACCCACACAAACGACTATAGGTTAGCACTGAAGTGTAAAAGAACTGCACAAATATGTCACGTTCACTAATCTGGCCACAGGAGCATTGTGTTTTTAAGTTCTAGTTTAAGAACAACTGTAGAAACTCCAAATAATTATCTTGTCTCTTAGCAATCTCTCTTATTAAAAAGTATTAGGAAAGTCTTTCGCCTTCAAAAAGAGGCCGATACAGAATGTATAAGCCCTATTTTAACCAGTCTAAGAATGTTTACAGGCCATATAGAATGTCAGGTCGAATTACTTAATTCTATTTAGCGACTTATTTAAATACTTTCAACATCAAATTTACGTGAGGCAATGTTATTTTCGTCTCACTGATATGATATAGCTTTTTGGTTAATATTTGTGAATTAGATTTTATTTTTATATTTTGAAAACTATAATTTTTTTAGAAATCACTTTAATTTTAGTTCAAGTTTTAATAATTTGGCTTTTAGTTTTTGCCATTTTTTAAATGTCTATATATATTTTTTATAAATTTTTATGGATTAGTTTAATATTTTATAAGTGTTTTACTACTACAAGTAGTAGTAAAACAAAATAAAAATGTAAGGTGAACAGATTTAAGTTTTTTTTTTAATTATTATTTTAATTTTAGTTAGCTATAATAACCCTGACATGAGGTCAAATGAACTAGCTAGTTGTTTCGGACAAATACGCAAGCAACATGTAGGGATGTTTACACAGCACAGATAAGACTAGAAATGCTAAAAACTAGAACATTTTAAAGCATTATCTGTTCGCCAATGATACATTTAGACTTAGCTTAAGTAGTCTTTGAATCTAACGAATACGATTTTGTAACACATTGCTTGGTACGTCTGGTTTACAACAACATTATTACTGTATGTAAGCACACTATTCCACTAAACCCTTCAAACATGCATCCTATTTATGTCTATAATCTGCTGAAAATACAATCGCCTTGTGTGAAGACAACCATTAATGACAACATCCATGGAAAAATGAAATAGGATAGACTAAAACTAGTCCACTGCATCATGTGGCTGATGCAAGCCAAGATTACTGTAATAGGAAAAAGTACTGCATTCCACACTGAAAGGAAAGCACAGTTACAATGAATGACCTCAACGTTTCTATTCTTTGCCTCTTATGCATGAGAGTGTCTTTGATCATAGTGAATCCAATTCATTTGCTTTGTAAAATGTAATCCCCGTAGATGAGATTATTGTTTAGCAACAAACACTTGGCGGCGACACTTCCGGGTTTCTCGGGAACTCGAAAACAGAGCTGCTTTACATTACATTACTTACACCTGAGCTGAAAAAGACTGACGAGTGATTTGCGCGAGGTTGAAACTCCACATTTACAAACGATTTTTGGATCTTTGAAGAATTTTAGCAAAACTCAAATACGCAAATTATGATAATTCACCGATCCTGAGCAAAGTGATCTGCTCTGATGCAGGGTTTCAGGTCTTAAAAAGGTCTTAATTTGCTCTCTTTTTTTTTTGCTCACAAATTAAGACTGTAAACGGGCTTAAAATGGAGCAGAAAGTGATTCTTGAAAGTGAATCCATAATATTTGTGGCATTAAACGCAGCATACAAAAAAAAAATAAAAAAATCGGAATTTTTTTTTCCCCCATTGCAGATATCTTCCATAAATCGAGATGGATTTACTTCAGGTGCAAAGTAAGCATATTAAGTCTTGTTTTCTGAGAAATTGAACAAACTAGAACAAATATCTGCCAAGGAGTAATGAAAACGTGTTTGCTTTGAATTTTTCTGAGCCCATTGGCAGATACTTGTTCTCGTTTTAATCATAAACTTGTGATCTTGATCAATTTCTCAGAAAACAAGACTAATGTACTTTTGCTTCTCAAGTAAATGTACCTTGATTTAAGATTCTTTAGACATTTGAGACATTATTTTTACATTTATGCATTTACATATAGAGACCACATTGATGTATCTTGTTCCATTCAATTTATTCCTTAAATTTTCTTTACTTGGTCTTAAAAGTTATTAAAATGTCTTACATTTACCTTCATAAAGCCTGCAGAAATCCTGTAATATGACCCGATTGGCCCACAGCTGCTGTTGGTAAATTAGCATTTTACTAGGCGTCATGCAAAGAGTTGCAAACAACTGATTTAATCTCTTGAACCATAATTGTGGTGTCAATATATTTCATATTTCATATTATACTTGATATTTGGTCCTATAACACCAAATAACCATCAATGATTGTGAAAGGATATTTGAACGAAAACTTTTCAAAGCTGAAAAAAAAAGTAGTTTGAATGCTGCAAGTAATTTTACACTGTTATCAAGTCTGATCAATATCAAATATTAATATTTATGTGGTCAAATGTGTATTTAAGCAATAAAGATGCATTGCTTATCTGATTTTACCTTCACTTTTTACTTTGATATATGTCCTCTCTCAGACTTTAGAAGTATGTGAGGATGTGTATTTAACGTCCTGTTGACTAAAACTATCAGTAAAGGGAGCTTCAACTAGAAGAAACCGGAAGTGTGGTCGCCTGTTATTTGACATTAAAGAAGATTTTAAAGGCGTCACGCCATGAGGAATCACATTTCCTTGGTATTGTCATATATAAGAGATCACTGTATTATAAAAACACTAAGTTTCAGAACTTAAAATATCTTCCAAAAAGAGCTTTTATTGTTACTACTCTGAAAAAAAAAAATCCCTGGAAATGATGTTTTGTTTTGAATGATATGGTGCTTTGCGTTGAAGTCTCAAAGGGTAAGCGTCCCCAAAAGGAAGCCTTTTGGTTAAGACTGGTGGAAAATGCTCGCATATTAATGCATTTAGACCATCTTTGAACAAACAACTTTGCAAGTAAACGAACCTTAATGAATATCAGAATTTTAAAAAGAAATGCACGACACGACCCCTAGACTATTTTGTAGTCCAGATAAGTCATTTAGGTTTTCAAAATGATGAATGTGATCTTGCTGTATTTTTTCACGAGACCTTATTCACATGCAGAGCTGTCTATGATATCTGTCTTTTGCAAAAAAAAACTAAATATAGCACACCAGTCTGATACTTTAAGACCATATTTGCCAGTTTAGTTTGTGAATGTTTATTGGTATAAATTTGTTCTTCTTTCATTAATGATGCAGTTGTATATATATATATATATATATATAGTGCATGTACTTGCACAGCAGGGAAGTGTTTACTGTATGTCTGAAGTTTGCATGTAAAGATTTTACTTGGAGTTCAAAACACAGAGGCCAATAAAAGTCTAAATAAACTGCAGTTAGTTGTTGCACTGTGAAGTCTTTCATTACACAATACTTTAAAGATTTTTTAAAAGGAAAGCTTAAGTGTGTTACTTTGCTTCATTTATCATGAAACGCTGATGTACTGATTTAGAAATGAATGAATCGATATTTAAAATGATTGGAATTCTGTTTTATGCTCTTTTGTATCAGTCCCATCTGGAGTGGCATAAGTTTGTGAAAATACCGGCATTTGTGCAATAATTTCAATTTTACTCGTTTTAGATTTTAGGAAATTATGCACAAACACAATCTGATGAAACTAATGTCGTAAAAAGAGTTACTTTCCACATGCAATTTCTTGTAGAGCCTTTAACAGAAAAATATCCACTGAACATTTTCTGTGTAGCTCTCGTAAGACTTCTGAACGATTTTGGACCACAATTCTGTTTCAGTTGCTCAGTAGAGACCTTAGTCAGAATTCATTTAAATTCCAATTATTCATAATTATCCTGCTACTCTTTGTGTTTATGTATTTAAAACGTCTTTCATTATATTACATTTTTTAATTAGATTTAATACTTAGGGTCACTCCTTTTTCTTCAGCTTTTTCTTGAACATGTTTATATATACTGTATATATATATATATATATAATATATATATATAAAAATAACAAATATCTGCCAAATGGGCTCGGAAACCCACAGATATTTGCTCTTGTTTCAAGCAAACCCCCTTCATTTTGATCTATATTTTAGAAAACATCTTAATTTTGCATCTCAAGTAAATGTTTTTAAGGAAATGTAGACATTTGTATTGGAAAACATGACAAAAACACAGAGGCAGCTCAGTAGATTTATATATACATAATAAATATACACAGTATAAACACATATTATGCAAACAAAAACTTTAATTTTGGATGTGATTAATGGCGATTGATCGTTTGACAGCACTAGTTCAAACCTTAAATTCTGATTTAATATTAATTTTTTTTTTAAATGTCTACAAACATTGATACAAAGTTTATTTATTATAAAGATCAATATATAATTTCTTTATACATAGATCAAATGTTAATCTAGATAAGTATAATAATATAATATAGTAGCAATCAATTTAACAATATATGTTGGGTGCATTTTATAATTTAATTTGACTATAAATAAAACTAAATTAGCTGTAGTAGAATTTTTGAAAACTACAACTAAAAAGATGTTTAGACAGTTTGACCTTAAAATATATTTAATGTTTATTGTGATGTCTTTTTAAAATAGCCATCATATTTTCTGCAAAAAAAAACAACGACAACAACACCTGAACGTTGAATAAAAGTAGTAAAGCAAGCAGTATTTGCTTTGCACATCAAAACTCTGGTGTCAAGCAAAAAGACTATTCAAACAAAATTCTTATTTTTTTTCTATTTTCTTTGGGGAGTGTTATTTGCTTTTAGAAAAACTGAACGAAACAGGTTTAAACTGGAAACCATATAAAATGGACTTTAAATAAAAATTTTTTTTCAGTGTATGAATTGCTTTTCAATATTATGTCACAGATTTATAAGGAATATTTAGAGTTTACAGTAGATACTGTTTTCTGGAAGGACTTAGAAATGAAGACCATCACATGCATTTTTTCACTTGGATATCTGTTTTATGGAACTCGTATAAGAGTGTTCTTTAAAGTCTCTGAATGCTTCTTTGCTATGCTTGAGTTATTTTAATATGCTAAAAGAACAACGGGAAATGTGTGTGTGTGCAACCAAGTGTGAGACGAGAAGTATTATTTTAGAGACCCTACATCCTAGCTTTTAAGTGGATGGTTTGCATTACACTATTTTTTTTTCAGTGTATGAATTGCTTTTCAATATTATGTCACAGATTTATAAGGAATATTTAGAGTTTACAGTAGATACTGTTTTCTGGAAGGACTTAGAAATGAAGACCATCACATGCATTTTTTCACTTGGATATCTGTTTTATGGAACTCGTATCATAAATTAAACCCCTTTCCTCCAAATAACACCTTTTGTTGTTGTTGTTAATAATTA